CGGCGGTGGCGGCGTCAAGGGCTGCCGCGTCAGCGGGTACGGCATCATCATTCACAGTTGGGATATCCGCCACATGGTCGTCGTACATTACACCCGGCAGTAGTTGACCGCCTGCGTCAGCGGCGACATGTACGTCACCCTCCCGTATCGCACCGCTGCCAGAACCGCAGCTGGCTTCGGCTGCCGCCGCCGCCCCGGAATGCACCGCCGCTATTGCTGCTACAGCTGCTCCCGCCGCTGCCGCCGCCCCACGCTGCACCTTGATGTCGGTCCTGATGGGCCCTACAACTGCGTCAGCTGCCACCTCGTCGATGACCTCCCAGGCAGTAGCAGCGGCCCCTTCAGCGGCGGCAGGCGCGACAGCCTCCTCAGCCGCCACAGTGGACGCGCCGCCGCCCAACACGGCTACTGCCCAAGCACCGGAGCCTCCAACCGCCCAACACTGAGAACCCTGTGCAGCGCCCACGGGTGCGACATCGCCACTGACGGCAGTAGCAGCCGCCGCAGTAGCAGCATTGGCCGCGACCCCGCCGGGAGCAGCACCACGAGCACCGGTCACGGCCCCCTCGGCAGTAGCACCGGCAGTAGCAGTGAAAGCAGCAACGGCGCCACTGGCAACGGCGCCGGCAGGCAAGATCTCCCTCTGGTGCGATGAAACTGCAACATCCCGACTCTCCCGCTGCTGCTGCTGCTGCTGCTGCTGCTGTAACTCCAGGAGGCTGCCATCGGCAACTGTCTCAGCCGCCGCCATCGCTGTCCGCAACCCAGGCTCGGACTGCTCTGGGGTTGACTTCAGAAGTAGCTGCTGCTGCTGCTGTTGCTGCTGCTGTTGCTGCTGCTGTTGCTGCTGCGGTGGCACTGGCGGCAGTGATGACGGCGACGGCGGCGGCGGCGGCTTCAATGCCTCTTCCGTCTGCTGCGGTAGAGGTGAGTGTGGTAAGGGGGGCAGCGGCGGCTGATCCAAGAGCTGTGTCTCCTGCCCCAGCGCCAAGTCGTTTTGGTGCTGCTTCTGCTGCGGCTGTTGCGGCAGCGGTAGCGCTGGCGCCAGTAGTCCCTGTAACCCCGGCTGCTGCTGCTGCTGTAGTTGCGCAGGCGCCTGCAGCTGCGGAGGCTCCGCCGATTGTTGTTGTTGGTCGTGGTGCTGCTGCTGCAGTGGCAACGGTGGGGGCGGCTCCAGTACCTCCGAAGGCTGCTGCAGCTCTAGCTGCTGTTGCTGCTTGTGTTGCTGCCCATTATGCTGCTGCTGATGATGAGTATAAGGCAGAGGCAGCGGCGCCGGCGGCGACGGAGGCACGTGCAACGTTAGCGGCTGGTCTTGCCGCTGCAGTACTGCATCCGCAAGCTGCCATTCCAGCACCTGCTCCGCTGCCTGGCACCCCACGACCCCCGCTCCCTGCAGCAGTTCGCCCGCTGCCTGAGTGTGCTCCTCAGCGTGCTGCTGCTGATCCGTTTGCTGCTGATCCGTTTGCTGCTGATCCGTTTGCTGCTGCTGCGGCGGCGGCGGCGGCGGCGGCTGCTCTGCTTGTTGCCAGTCCATCAACGGCTCCTGAGGCAGCGACGGCAACGGTGGCAGTGGCGCCTGCGGCGTCGACAACAAAGGCTCAAAATATGCGCCAATCGCCTCTGCGACGACGTTAGAAGGCTGCGGCAAGGGAAGCTGAACCTCCTCGTCGCCGGCGGCGGCGGCGACGGCGGCGGCACCAGCCGCAGCGGAGGATATGGAACCGGCGGCAAGTACGGGTTCCGGGATGCATCCGCCGACGACAGAAGCAGCTGCGGTGGCGGGTAGCGGCGCTGAGTACGGCGAAGGGGTCAACAAAGTCAACCCAGAGATGGATAGGAGAGGGTCTGAAGGGCCACCCATCATGGAGGCGAGGTCGATTCCGTACGTGCTGCCGTACGTGTTGCCGTACGGCTCCATCAAACGGAGGTTGCTGCTGACATCGCAGACGTCTTGCAGCCCGTAACTCAAGGGACCGTTCATTGGGTACAGGCCGCCGCCGTTGACGGCGGCGGAAAGACCGCCGTTAGCAGCGGCGGCGGCGGCGGCACCTGGCGGTGAGGGTGGCGCCAGCGGCGCCGCCACGACGCTGTCGTCGACTGCTTCTATTGCAATGGCGGCGGCGGCGGCAGCTGCCCCCACCCCTACCGCTGCCGCCTCCGCCACTTCCTGACAGTACAAATCCGCATCAACTGCGGGGCAAATAAACGGAGAAAACGTTGCTGGGACGGCACTCGATCGTTCGGTCGGCCCTGGCTGTACGGCTGTGTACGGCGTCATTGGCGTCGCGAAGAACGGCTGGGGCCCGCCGGCGCCGCCAGGTTCTACGAGCGACGGGACGGCGTGCAAAACCTCCTCCCTGCACTCGTCCGGCGCCATATCGCCACCGTGCGCGGCTGCATCAATGCCCGTTGCACCTGCGACCAGCTCGGCGCCTGTGGCGGCGGCGACGGCCATCAGTGACACGGCTGTCACGTCTGTAGCATCCGGTGGTGTCGCCGCGCTTTCGCTGCCACCGCCGCCACCGCAATCGCTGGCGGCTTGAGGTATGCCGTCTCCTCCGTCTCCGCCGCCGCTACCATCCGCAAGGTCGGCAGCTGCGCCGTCGCTAGACAGCCGCTCCCAAAGCCCCATCAAGCCCTCTCCCAGCTCCCCCGCCGGCACTTTTGCAGGAACTCTGCTTTTCCCAGGGCCGCGTCCGCGTCCGCGGCTACGTCCTTGTCCATGGCCCCTGCCACGGGACCGCCCCCGCCCCCGCCCTCCCCCCCGGCTGCGTCCGCGACCCTGACCCTCGCCCTGACCCTGTAGTCCCTCCGACACGGGATATTCAATGACAGACCCCAGGTGACGCCTCCCAGCGCCGCCGGCGCTGCTCCCGTCGGCATTCTCGCTGATAATGATCTCCAATGATGCGCCGGCAGAGCCGCTGCTGTGCGGCAATGGTGGCGGCAGCAGCGGCAGCGGCGCCGCCGCTGCTGATAATGTTGCATGCTCGCTGCCGCTAACGCCGTCCGTAGCTTCCGCTGCCTCGCTACCCCCGGCGGAGGAGGAAGGTGGAAGCAGCGGCGGCGGCAGTGGCGGCGGCGGCCGCCGCCGCGGCCAGCTGCTCGGCGGCAGCTGCGCCGCCAATAGGGCGCCGGAGGTGCTTGCAGTACAGCACTCGTCCAACTGGCTGCGCGCAGTACGGCCCTGGCGGAGGGCAACGAGGGTCCTCCGCGGCAAGCAGCGCCGACGGCGGCGGCAAGTCCAATCGGTACGACGACATCTCCTTCGCCGCAAGCAAACTTGCCTCGGCGGGCATGTAGCCCAAGCTGTCCAGCCACATCGCCGCCGCCGCAGCGACGCTCGCACCCGCGCGCGCGGCGGCCTCCGCCGCCGTCAGTCTCGGATGCCTGCCGCGTCGCTTGTACAACAGATCCGGCTTGTACGTCACCATGTCGTATGCGGCGGCGGGCGTAAGGCTCAGCAAAATGTTACGGACGCCTACGCACGACAATGCATCTTCCAGGACGCGAAGCAGCTGGACCGCCAGGCCGGGGCTTCGAGCAGCAAAGCGTGGATGTACAGCGGGCACGTGCACCTGAGACGGGCAATAGGCGGTGGCGGCGGCGGCGGCAGCGGCGGTACGACACAGGTGCTGGCGGGGGGCCGTACGGCAACAAAAAAACATGCGGGCATAACATCCGGAAACTGTACGACGCCGTATACACAAAGTACTGACGTGTACATGCAAATCACGTGTATACACATGCTCACCACTGCGACGCCAGCACCGTACACATGTACAAGTACAACGCCGCTAATCTGCTCGTCCACCCAGAGCAAGGCGGCCAGCTGTACACCCCCACGCTCAATCTCATGCCGTACAGCCAGGCCAACGCCGCCTGCCGCGCTGCCGCCGGCGGCTCCGCCTCCGCCTCCGCTCTCGCCTCCGTCGCTCCCGATAGCAGCATCCTTGAAGGCCCCGTCGCCGCTGCGGCCATCGCCACCGCTGCCGCCGCCGCCGCTGCAGCGGATGCTGTCCGGCACCGGGCCCCAGGACAGCCCTCCAAGGCGGCCGCCAGCCGTCCTCCAGGACGGATCAAGACCCACCAGGGCTCCGCCGCCGCCACCTCCGCCACCGACGGCGGCAGGCGCATCCAAGCAAGCTTCCAGATCCTTCAGGAGCCCATCCACATCGATGTACGGCTGCTGCTGCGGCTCCTGCGAATCGTCCTTCTGTAGAAGGGGTAGGATTAGGACCGCACCGCCAATAACAGCTTTTGGTGCTCCAAACGAACCCTACCCATGGCGCAACAAAAAAAAAGCTGTTCCGTGCTTTCCGTGCAACCAGAAAGGCCGGCGAGCCGTCCGCATACCCACCGTATGGTACGGTGCTGTACCGCCCAAGAGCCCGAGACCGCTACCCTGACTCTTACCTCTCCTGCACGTGCCTCAATCCCGCACACTCCATCTGCATCGCCGCCGCCAGCGTTTCCACCGCGGCTCAAGGCGTTGGCGGCGGCGGCGGCGCCCGCAGCCGGCGGCGGTGGCAGCGGCGGCCAGAGCTCCACCAGCTGCCACTCCAGGGAAGCCTCGGCGGCCAAACCCAGCGCCGCCGGGTTGCATTCCACTTGCATGCAGCCCTTCTCTCGCAACCAACGCAGACATCGCAATACCGCATCGCATTCGGCGCTGCACACAAACTCGGCCCCAGGTTGGTGACCCATGGGTCGTTCTAGGACTGGGCCTGTTGGTTGTCCATCAGAAGACAATGGTTTCGGTTCCCCTCCAGGAAGGACCTTTCCCGCTGCTCCTCCGACGCAGGCAAGTAGGAGTGTGCCAGGATCCCCGCCGCCGCCATTAGCAGCGGCAGCGGTGGTGGTGGCGGCGGCGGCGGATCGCGACGGGCCTGTGCCTGCTGCGGCACTCGCCGCTGCGTAGGGGTCATTGGCTAGGAGCCACGGCGCGGGTGTGCCAGGCAGTAGCAGCTGCTGCTGTCGGTCCTGTACGGACGCTAGCTCGTCCAGGCCGAGCTGATGCCGCCCACGGTCCATGCCCCCCAGGTACGCCGTCAAGCAGCTCACGTGGCAGAGGCGGCCGCAGCAGATACAACGCACGGCACAGTTATACGATATGGTGTTACAATGCTCCATTTCGTCCGTGGCATCGGCCACGGACGCAGTGGCCATGGGGATAGCACCCGCGCTTGCGGTGGGCGCGACTAGCTCCTTGGACTCCGCCGCCGCCGCCGCCACTACACGGGCAGCGACGACCGCCGCACCGGGCGCAGTCGGCGGCGTCGGCGGCGACGGCAACGATTGCAGCAGCGCCAGCGCGGAGAGCACCTCCGCAGTCGGTGCATTGATCTGCAGCTGCTGCTGCGGCGGCGGCGGCGGCGGCGGCTGTCGTGCTGGCGGTAACTGCGGATGCCTGCTAGCGGCAGCGTCTGGTACTGCCACATCTGCTGCCGCAATTGGTACTGCCACGGCATCCACACTACTAGCGGCCGCCTGTGCGCACTCTACGGCGGCGCCGCCGCCAGCTCCGGATCGAGGAACGTAGCGTCAGGCCGCAGGGACGCCGCGGCGCACGCCACGTCCCCCAGAGACCATACACGCCGACTGCAATCGCCTGTCGCGGGTGCCGGCTCCAGCGTGTGCGTGTGCGTGTGTATGTGCATCTCCCCCGGCGCACCGTCCCCATCATCTCCCCCCTCAGGCAGCAACGACTCAGGCAGCAACAACTGCGCCACCGGCGGCAGCTCTGACGGCTGCGACGATGAGGCAGGAGGCCCGAATGGCGCCTGAGCTGCCGCCGCCACCGCTGTTGCGGCGGCGGCATCCGGCCGTAGCTCAAGGTTGCGCTGGGGAGGTGCAGACGTCGGCTCTTGTTGCGCCGCCGCCGCTGCACCCGCCGTAACGGCGGCAGCACCAGCCTCCCGATCCTCTGGCCTGACGTCGACGTCGACGGCGGGGCCACTACCGCGCTTGACAGCGGCAGCGCCTAACGGGGCACCATCAGCCTGGTGGAGAAGGAACGACCCGGGACACAAGAGCAGCGCCACACAGGCCGCGTCACAACCCCCCAAATAGACCATTATCAGCCGTTCCATAGGTGAAAAAATCAACGCAAGTTAACCAGCTCGCAGCTCGCAGAGCAAAGGCGTTTCGTAACGCCCTCTGGAATGGATGCCCCGGGGAGCAGCGCCTTAAGAAAGGTCAACGATAAAACGGCGACAAAACCCTAAGGTCAAGATAAAAAAAGCAATAATTAATTACACAAGACAAATGATGGATGTGATGTCACAAGGACCGGCCCTGCAGGTGGTGGTGGGGCTTACCTGAAGATCGCCGCCGTCGGGCACTGAGGGGCCACCGCCGCTGCCGTCACCTTTAACCCCACTGCCGCCGCCGTCACGGACGCCGTCGCCGTCGCCGCCACCGCCACCGACGCCGCCGTCGCCGCCGCCGTCACGGACGCCGTCGCCGTCACCACCCAACATCCACGACAGGTCCTCATTCAGAAACTGCGTCTTCGTATAGATGTCGTAGATGGGCCTGCGCATGGCGCGTATGTCTGTATGTACATTATTTGTTACTCACCCAGAAGGACCTGAGTGCAGAAAGGACTAAAAGCTTTGCGAAATACGCAATGCGTCGCAGTGCAGCGCATGGGTGCAGCATACCAGTCGCGAGGACGACCGCAGGTGAGCATTTCTCTATGCTGCTGGCATATATATATATATATATATATATATATATATATATATATATATATATATACACACACAAACACACACACACACAAACACACACAAACACACACATATATATATGTGTGTGTGTTTGTGTGTGTGTTTGTGCATGTGTGTGCATGCGTGTGCGCGTGTGTGTTCTTTACACCTCCTAGCGTTGCGTTATACCCTCCAAAGGTGTAACCTGGGGGGGGTATGGGGGTGGCCCGTACATACGTACATACCTGGAGCCATGAGGGAGGTGAGGTGATGGGGAGGGGGCCACAACCTAGGGCCCTGAGGGGGCCGAGGGGGCCGAGGAGGCTGTGCGAGGAAGATAGATATTGTGAACACGCATATATGTTTATGTGTGTATATATACATATGCACATATACACGCACCGGCTACACCATCCCCATATAAGGAACAAAGCAGCCCGCCAGCCCAGCCGCCCCAACACCCCATCCAAGCGCAGCGCGGCCAGGCGAGACTCACCGCTTTGCTCCCGATGTACCGCTGTTGCCTGACGCGCCGCGCGACCCGAAGGCAACCCCCCACGGTGACCGCGGCCCTGCGCCGCCGCTGCCGCCGTCGTCGCTCCCGCCGCCGCCGCCGCCTGCGCTCTCCGCTGCCGCATCAACTCCAGCCGCTCGACAGCACTTAAACGCGGCCTGGCGGGTTTTGGCGCTGTAGCTGCGGCGTCCGGTGGGGCCGCCGCCGCCGCCGCTGCCGCAGCTGCTGCTTCTGCTTGCAGCGCAGAATCCCGCTCTGCTGCTGGCGGCATGGACTCTCGTACACACGTCGCGGGGGCCTGTGCCAATCCAAGCCTAGGCTCCGGAGCGGCTGCGGCTGCTGCTGCTGCGGGTTGTGGCGGTGGCGGTGGTCCTGGTCCGGATGCTGGCGGAGCTGCCGGCAGGCCATCCGATGCGGATGGGGGATCCAAGGCTATAAGCCCCACCTCGAATTCGTGCTGGTGCTGTTGTAGTAGCTGGTGCTGGTGCTGGTGGTACTTTTCCGGGTCAGGCGCCAATGGCTGCCGCTGCTGTAGTAGTGGTGACGGCTGCAGTGGCAACGGCTGCGGCGGCAGCAGTAGTGGATGTTCTTGTTGCAATGGCGGCAGTAGCTGCTCCTCCTGCGAAAACGGCAGTAGGTGTCCCTGATCGGACTGCTGCAACTGAAAAGGCATCTGCTGCTGCTGTAGCTGCTGCAGTAGCTCCAACGCGGGCATATGGGGGTCAATCGACAGCGGCTGTAGCACCCCTGGAGCTGCGGTACCGCCTTGATGTCGTACAGGTCCACCAGCCGGTAACGCAGCGGCGACGCCGGCAGCGATATCCGGCCGGCCGGGCGCCCCGCTCTGAACATGCTGAGCCGCATCCCCAATCGCCTCCACGTCAGGAGACACGGCACCTGCGGCGCTTAAAGCTGCAGCAGTGCCGTCGCCGCTGAAGTTGCCGACCGCCATACTACTGGACGCCTGCCTGGCGAAATTTCCGCAGTACGGCACCTCTTGCAGCTGTTGCTGTCGTTGCAGCTGCTCGATTTGCATAATTTGCTGTTTAAGCTGCATGGTGCGCCGATGCAGGAAAGCCGTCAGTGCGACGATCTGCCCCGGCGGCAGCGCTGACGGAGGCCCGCCGCCGCCGCCGCCGTTCGTGTTAACCGCCGCCACCAGGGCGGCTGCGAAGGCCGGCACGAAGACCGCCGCTGGGTTGACTGACGGACCGGGCGCGCACGGCAAGCGCGTGAACGGGTCCGAGCAGCCGCCGCCGCCGCCAGGGCCGCCGCCAGGGCCGCCGGTGCTGGTCCACGGAAACATCTGGGATTGCCCCGGTATGGTCGACGCCGTCGACACGACGGCAGCGGCTGCTGTTGCAGCGGCGCCTCCTACACAAGGCCGAAATGTTCAACGTCACCAGGGAACAAGATACGGGCAGGCAATAGCGCGGCAAGGCGGCAGGTCATGCAGGTGCACAGGAGCTTTGTGGCCATCCATACGCCGGCCAGCCAGCCAGCGGGAGGAAAACATCTTACACATCCAGCCAGCTGCCGGGATGGTGGTGGTGGTGGTGATGGAAAGATGAACCACTGGCGAATGAAGCAGCGAATGTTCGCCGGTGGGTGGGGATAAAACAGCAACATGACTTGTACAGAGCAACACCTGCAGCATACCTAGAGTAAGTATGGGGCCTTGAGATTGGGCCTGGCCGCCCGACGTAAGACTGTCGTTCCGCGACCACATGACTGACCCGTGGGTCGCGAGCGATCGCATTCCCGCTGCTGAGGAAGACGACGTCGAGGCGGCCCGTAAGGCCAGGCGGTCCGGCAGCAGCGGACCTTTGGAACGCGGCCCCGGCGGTAGCAGTCCTGGTGGTGCTCCTCCTCTTCCTCCTCCTCCTCCGGCCGCTGCTGCTCCTCCTCCTCCTCCGCCTCTCACAAAGCTCTGGTCCGGTCCCGTACGTCGCGACGACAGCGATCGCGACGGCGGCGGTAACGGCTGGAGGGCTGTAATGTGAACCGCAGCCTGTACGGCGGTGGTAGTACCTACCGGTTGCGGCTGCTGCTGCTGCTGCGGTGGACTATTAACTTGCAGCACCCCAAAAATGCTGTAGGGGCTGGGTCCGCCTGGAGGGTCGCCGCCGCCGTCGTCGTCGTCACCGCCGCAGAGAAGTTGCGTGAAGGACGGCGGCGCAACGAAAGGGGCAGCTCCTGCTGCTCCTGCTGCCGCCATGCGGTCATCGTCAGGTCCTGCAACGCGGCTCCGCTTGGCCTGGGGCTCCAGGGGCGGCTCTACCTCAAGCTCATTTCGATCAGGCTGCTGTTGTTGCTGCTGCTGCTGGTGGCAGTGGTGGGCTAGCGGCTGGCAGTGTGGCGGTTCGCGGCTTTGGAGCTGCTGCCATCGCTGCTCCTGCTCCTGGTCCAGCCGCTGCTGTTGCGGCGGCTGATCCAAGAGCTGTGTCTCCTGCCCCAGGCCAAGTCGTTTTGGTGCTGCTTCTGCTGCGGCTGTTGCGGCAGCGGTAGCGCTGGCGCCAGTAGTCCCTGTAACCCCGGATGCTGCTGCTGCTGTAGTTGCGCAGGCGCCTGCAGCTGCAGAGGCTCCGCCGACTGTTGTTGTTGGTCGTGCTGCTGCTGCTGCTGCAGTGGCAACGGTGGGGGCGGCTCCAGTACCTCCGAAGGCTGCTGCAGCTCCAGTTGATGCTGCTGCTGCTTGTGTTGCTGCCCATTATGCTGCTTCTGTTGCTTGTAGAGATGTGCAGCAAGCAGTTGTAGCGCAATACGCCGGGCTGCAATAAGACAAAACGCAACGCGTTGAGCCGCCGTATATGGGACTTATGGCCGTGTGTGGGGCTTATGGCGCTGTACTGTACTGTTCGGGTGGGTTTGCCCTGGGACGTTGGCTAGCAGCCAGCCGGTCGGGATTGGGCAGGTGTGCCGGCTCTCGGCACACGCGGACTGTATGCAACATTAATGGTGGGCACAATATCAACACTGCGAGAGGCCCGACCCACATCCCCACTCGCATCCTCACCGTCCAAGCGACTTTCGGGGTCTGCAACACCCTCTGAAGCAATTCCCGTAGCGGCCAGTTCAGCTCGGGATCGCGGCGCGGATTGGGCAAGACCTCCACATCAAGACGCTGTTCAAGCTCCAGAGGACTGTCGGCGCTGGCGGCATGGCGTTGGCATTGCTCCAGGAGGGGCCATGGGGCTGCTGGTGCCGGTGCTGCCGCTAGTGCCGGTGCTGGCGCCCCATGGGTTGTCCGGCCCTGCGGATTGGGACACGCAGACCATGCGCATGGCAAGAGCTGCTTTGTCTTGGTCAAAGAAGGATGACTGCGGATGACTGAGGGTGCATTGCATGTCTGAAGGAGGCCCCCTAGCGCCTCAGTTCGCTGGTTCAAGACAGGCAAAGATTGGCGCCTCGACGGATTTGAAAGCCGTTGAAGATGCCCCGTCTGGGGCGCAAATCCTAATGGGCCCGCGGTCAGCACGGGCGAATCACTGTCGCGTGGTGCGCAGATAGGAGCGAGTGGGTGACGCAACGTTTGTGCTTGTGCGCCGTCCGCACACGCATGACGACAACCCCCCTCCCACCTGGTCTAACCTCCCCTCCCACCTTCCCTCTCCAACCTGTTCTGCAGCCACCCGACTCGTCATCATCCGCCATACAGCAAGCTGTGCCACATCGCCTCGGCGCTGCTCCGTGGCCGGGACCGCCGCCGGCCCAGCGGCCAGCGCAGCTGAGCGACCCACTGGTCTGCCGCTGCCGTTGCCAGACGCTCCGCTTAAGAGGGGCACGGTCGGTACCGCCGCGCCCAAAGCATGCCATGTGTTTGCATAAGCTGGCACGGACGTTACTAGGTAGCAGCCCTCGCCGCAGAAAACACAGCGACACGCGGGGCAGTACCAGTCGGCCTGGCGGCCTGGACACTCCTCGGAGGCCGCCATGCAGCGGGCATGAACGAGCAGCGGTTGTGGCGGCGGTGGGAGCTGTGCAGCTCCGGAAGCTGATGTTCCTGCGCCGTCTTCAGCTGCTGCTAACGTTAGTGCGGATTGCTGGGCAGGAGCGATGTGGGTCGCATGGTAAGAGACTGAAGGTGCTGGTGCTGAAACAGCGGCGGCGGCGCGTGCGCCACGGTAACCGTCGCCTGTTCGGCGTCGAGCAAGTTGGGGGCCGGGCTGGTCCACAACAGGCTGATGCAGCGTGGGCTCAGCGCCACTGCTTCTGCCGCGGTCTGGTGGTCCACTGCAATGAGCCTCCAGGCAGCGACGGTGATAGCACGCACCGCATGCATCGCACGAGATGAGGTCGCCCTGTATGCATGAGGTGGTAAGGTGGGTTTGGAAAACAGTGATTAAGGCACCGCCTTGAGAGGCCAGGGTGTAGCAAGGAGCACAGCCGACGTTGTACTTGGTGATTACATGATCAGCTCCTCAAGTAATGGATCGCTACCCGATAAAACCGCTGCGTGTGATTGCTCACCTCTTCATGGCAAGCTCGACAATAGAACTTGTCCATACCGGCGCCCAGCTAAACTACCCCAGCAGGGTCAGGTTTTGCCAGGTTGGGAGGCAAAACATAGCTGCCACGAACTTTACCAGCACGGGGCTGGCTTTGGACAAAATCTCAGAAAAACAACGCAAAGACGCAATCCGCCCAGGTTGCCCAGGTCCCCTGTGCCTTGCTTAGCTCCACAGGTATGATTGCTGCTTTTGCCAGGGTCCTATATTTGTGGACAACTTGCACGCATCTCCTGTCGTGCCCAAGCAAAGCGTGAAGACTTCTCCGCCTGCCCCAAAATGCGTTGACTAATTCTGCCTATGTTGTGGAGCCTTATGATAAAGGATTTCAAACTTTAACAACTCGTCAAATCGTCGGGACCTGGGAACTTATGATTTAGCAGCCTTGTGACCAACCGGTGGGTGAATTCGTAGGCAAAACACCTTTACCACATCCATCTAATATATTCTGCAAAACAGAAATGATGATGCGGCACTTGCAGAGAACCATCATAGTGTTGCCGTCCCATGTCGACGAATACGACAGTTGTCATTACATTTTTCCGCTCATCTTCAACGCTTCTGTTATGCGCCATGATTCCCCTGCTAAGTATCGAGTTGCCGCGAAGACATCCTCTGCCTTTAACTTTCATCAGCCTGCCTCTCGCGTTGGGCTGCGGTGCGTGCCGTCCAAACGACCGTTGTTGCACGGTGATATTATTGATACGCAATAAAGCACGTGTGTTCTGTCCTTCGTTGGTATATGGATCCTCATGCAACCATCGGCGACCAACTGTTGATGACAGGCGTAGCGCGTTTCCAGGCCCCTGGGTGTTGAATACAGTCTGCCAATGCCTCTACTCGCGCATGGTAATATCACGATGTAGCCTTGCAATATGTAACGTTCTGGCAACCGCCTGCTATTGGCCCCTGATCACAGCACTCTGACCAGGCTGACTGTAGTAATGCCGTACATTTTGTAAATTTCCTGTAAACAGCGAGTCAGACTGCTGTAATTTTTGAAGAAAGGTATGCGATGACCCATTGATGAATTAGGCGTCGCCCATTACAGGAGGTCGCCACAATGGCGATGCGCTCAGCACTCCTGCAGCTTTCTGACAGCGTGGGCGTAGGAATTCTTGGCCTCAATCGTTCTTGCTGGGGTGCCAGCCCGCCCGGCCGTCAGGGCGATGGATTCAGGGCGATGACCTGGATCCACTTCGCCTTGCACTTTCTGATACAGCTGCAGGGCGATGGATGACGTACAACAAAGGTCACACTTGGCAAGAGAACATAAGCCTGCCAACTGAGAACAATTTAGTATTCCATTAATGAATGACAGGAATAAAATGCTGCTAAAACAATCAGTGTTGGATAACATAGGTGGCGCCGTAGTGCTCACCCTCTGATTCACATAAAGCCTTGAGGAATCGTAAGACATGATTGGATGGCGTCCCAGTAGCTTAAGTACTCAGTCCATTGCTGGCACAGCAAGCTGACGTATGGATGCGCGGGAAGCCCATGACCCAATGTCTTGCCGTTTCGGACATAGGGACCATATAGGCTTAAATTTAATCAAGAATGCTGGAACAAACCGTTGATTTGCTTGTTGTAAGCAAGGGGTGCGGCTTTACACAAAGAGGCTTATACAAGAATGGAGTGGGAGTCATGCACCTTGCATGGCATAAGGGATGTGAAACATAGGTTGATAACGTTCGTTGTATGAATGTTGGTAAGATATTGTTCAGGTTTGGTGGTGTTTAGTAGAGGTCCACGCGAGCTTCTAACCAGAGGTCGGCAAATCCGGGGGTCCTGCGGGTCCGTACCACAGTACTCGGCTGCGGGACCCAAATGACCAAAATTCGACCAAAAGACGTGATTGAAACCTCTATTGCGGCCCGTAGGGCCGCGCGCTGGACTCGAACTCTGTGTTTGACTTTGTAAAAGAATGTCACGACCACCTCTACACAATTCGGTGACGGTTATCATTGATAAATTATTACATTTCTGGCGTCTGTACCGATGACTTGCAGCTGCCGCAGCACTTGACTTGGTCAATTGTGGATTTTGGCATACCAAATATTGGTCCCATGTGGCCTATCCTATACATAATCTTCGTCATATTGCTTGTATTTTCAGCATAATTTTAACTGCTGACCGCGGCATGTCGGCGGCATCTCGCCGGGGAACGAAGGAAACGCGTGCAGAAATCTCCAGCGGTCGACAACGCATGTTGGCCGGCATGTTGACCGGTCGTAAAGCCACTGCTGAGCCCCCTGCAACATATATTGAGGCGGAAGAGCCGTTACTTGGGCCATCGGGCAGCGCCGGTGAAGCTCCAGGTCTACTTTTCCCAGCACCACCACCTCCCACCTCCGGAAACGCCAGCACCGTGGCCCTTCCTCCACAGAAGAAAAGGCGCACTCAAGCCAACACCGCCGCCACCGGTCCCACTCAGCAGCCAGCACCTCTCCTGCCCGCCACCCCCAACACCACCGCTCCCGAACAGCAGCCGGCAACACGCCTGCTCCCCGCCACCCCCAATGCCACCACCAACCCGCAACGGAAGCGCACTAAGTCCACCAATAAGATGGATGCCGTTGGTGTCCCCCCGGGGTTTGAGCGGCTGCATATTCCCAAAGAGGACATTGTTTGGCCGACTGACACTTGTTGTTGTTGTTGTTGTTACATGGTCGTGGGTGCGTTCCCCGTACCTGCAAACCACCCTTGTACGAGCCGAGGGCTCAAGGGCTGCCAAATCGCCTATAAGCACCATCCTACCTCGCACTTCCAACGAGACAAGTGATGAAGTATACTAACGACCAAAGGGAACGATAGAGTTGCGGTGAGACCATATGCGTTCCAGCATCCTTGCCAGGCGTTCAGGTTCCCACTTCATAGCATCCTTCATATGTTCGAAGCGTGGAAAGCCCATATCAGATCTGATTTCGTCGTAAACCGGACAGTCCAGCAAAATGTGTTTCTCATCCTCGATGTGGCTATCAGTGCCGCAGCAAGGGCATACTCGCTCCTCCCTAGGTATATAACGCCGTCCCTTACGCGCTCTGTTAGCCGCCAGTGCCCAACAGCAAAGCCTAAACTGCATAAGCTTGCGATTCGCCGAACGTGGGATAAACATTGTGATGTGCGGGAACACCTCCTTCCTGCCCGCTTGCTCGGCCGCCAGCCCCATCCAATGCTTATACTTCGCCATGTGGATTCCTGGTTGCTTGCCGTCTGACGGATACACGTAAGGCTGGACATCTAAACACGTATGCTTCCAACCACTCATTAATCGGTCCTTGAACTCCAAAATCACACCTTCTGGCATTGGCTTGTTCATCAACCACTCCACTCGTTCGTCTACCTCGTGTAGCCCTTGTGGGGCCTCTTTCCATACATCGTGCCCCAAAAAACATAGAGCTGACACTTGTGGTGGTTATTTCAAGAGCTGGGCCTATGTACTTCAGGGCTGGACGGTCATCTGCTTTTTTTGTGACACACATAAGGAGAGTAACGCCACCATTTCCCGCACGAGCTGGGATCGCTCAGCTTACACCCGGCACGAGGCCCCCCACTCCCACAAAGTGGCTGTAGACCAGTACACGCAGGATCAGCAGCAACAGCAAACTGACAAGCACCTGGCCATGACCGAGGTTGCCGACAATCCCTTGTTGGCTCTGTTTTGTGGCGCATACGTGGTCCTGTACCAAGCCATGCCTTTCACTCACTTCCCAACAATCTGTGAATACATGGACTGGCTTAAAGTACCAAACATCACCGGCTTAGCTCAACGAGGGTCTTTTTGTGAAGCTGAGTATGTCGGGGTCCTTGAAGAAGGAGGATGCAATGTTGAAGGGGGCAATGGCCAAGTACAAGTCCTCCACTAGGATGCACCTCTACACGCACATCACCGATAAGGCCGAGAATATCCTTCACGACCCGCGCTTCAACCCCATGCGGTCGGCTTTGTGAGGATGAATAGTTCGGGGGCGACACTAACTTCATGGCGCAAGAACTTGCTTGGCAACGAACCCATGTCCCCCCCCTGTAAAACGATCGGCCTGCAATGTGTATGGAACGTGGAGCCCTGAAATGCTGTCTCTTTTGGCGCCGGAAGGGGAAATAGCTACACGACAAAACACGTCAACAGCCGAGACAACGGCACGCAACGAGACAGACAGATAGATAGATTAACTGACTCACAGACAGGCAGACAGACAGACAGACCGAACACACCAGGTGCAATGACAGGGGCGCTGGACTGCAGGTCTCGGTGTGCCAACCGCCAAACTACCATCCAACTACTACCAGCTAACACATAAGCATCCCAGGGCGTAAAGAGCGCTGTATGGCCCATACAGCGGGTCCGTCCATTCCCACGCTGCTGCTTCCCCTGCCCTCTCCCGTCCCCACCTGCTCCGCGGACGCCTCGCTGGTAGTGGCAGGCGGTGTCCTTATGTCCTGTTGCGGTGGGCGTTGTGCTGTTCTATTGCCGACGTGGAGCGAGACGTTGGTTGAGTTTGTGTGCGCGTGGAAGAAAAGGGTTTTGTAAGGGGGTAGCGGCGGTTGGAGTTGGGCGAGAGGGAGGAGGGATGGTGGGTGCAAAGGTGCTGCCGGCGGGTATTAGTCCTGGTGGAGTTATGTGGCGGGTGGAGAGCAGTTTCCGGGACATGCCGAGTATCGAGTGTCACGTGTAGATGTGTATGCGGTTTTCTGCACCAACCTCACAACCACATTCCCCCTCTTCCCGCCTCCCGGCGCCCACAGGGGGCCCCCTGTCGCACTCACGTTCCTTGCACGTTGAAGTGGTACATACATACATGCATACATACATATTTACACAGGTAAACCACAACACACGCGGCAACCGAGCTAGCTAGCCGCCATCACCATTCCTCACAAGTTCCTATCTTCTGAACTTGTGTCGACTTTAAGTACATTGGACATCCCTGCATCCCCGCAGTTGGCACATGTACGGGGCGCACCAGATGCTGAGAACATCACGCAGTTGGTGCTGGATACACTGAACATGGAGGCCGACCTTGGGGAGGAGGATTTGGTGCACAAGCTCGTAGTGGTCAGCACTGACGGTGCAAGCATGATGACGGGCGTGCACAATGGGGTGTCAGCAAGGCTCAGCCAGACCGCGCCGTTCCTGCTGATCCACTGCATGGCACACCGCACAGACCTCGCCATTGCCGTGCTGGAAAAAGCCCCGGTCGTCAAGATGATTGTGAGCGTCATCAAGGACGTTTACAACTACTTCTCGGCGGTTTAACGGAGTATTCGGCTTTGGCCCAGCTGGTGTTAGTGATGGTGCCAGGGTCGGTGGAGGATGAGCGGCGGTTCTCGGCCATGGGGTACTTGCAGGACCCCACCCGCAACCGCCTGGACGAGCACCTAGCATTGTGTGTGCGGATGTTTACCCAGGCCTGTTCGACCTGGGCACGTTCCCGTTCCGTGACACACTGAGGGAGTGGCTGGACAGCAGCAGCAGGGGCCGGTACATGATGAACCGGTAGAGTGTGGTGTGGTTTGCAGTGGCGGGTGACGGCCTTTGATTTGCTATGCGGTTGCTTGCTTTGGGCCTTTGCTTGGTCGGATTTACTTTTTGTTCACAAACAGTCCCAGAACTATCTATGCATGTGCATGAAGAGTGCGCACATGAACGAAAGCGCGCCAACGCAGTGCGTGCCTCTTGGTCTATGAGGGGAGTTGTAACTTATCGGGGGGGGGGGTCTGGGGCGCCCCACTCTTAAGTAATACATTACGGCGACGCTAGCAACTTTGTTACTTAGGTTGGAATAAATTGAGACCCCCCCTAAATGAAAAAAAAATCACTGCCGGGGATACAAGGGTACACCGTCGTAGCCAACTGGGGAAGGCGGAAGTGGCGAAGGTTGCACTTTGTTATTGTGCCTGCTTCACCATGTTCCCAACACGGCGGTGGCAGCGAAGGGCCTCAGACGAGGGACACGCCGCAACCCAAGGGCGCGTCAGACGCTGCGGCGGGTGAGGGTGAGGTTAGTCCTTCCCCGCCCCTCGCAAACCGCATGGTGCGTGCCAGGGAATCGGAAAAAGTTTCCATTCGGAAATCTACCAGTCGATGCAGTCCCCAACCTGTTTCCGCCGCAACCCGGATTAACATTTCCAAGCGATATACATCGACCTCTGCCGGGCTCGAACCTTGGGCCTCCCGCTTGGGCCTCCCCCAAAAAATAGTATAATGTAGGTTCTAGGACAGCTCCGACTAACCCCCAGCTAACTCGTGTACGGCACCCCAACCCCCCTCACCCGTACAGGCGGTAGCGTGGCAGTCGGCAGCTGCGCGAGTGTGAGCAGGTAGTTGTATGGCGGCCCGGCTCGGAAGGTACCGGACTGTAGTGGTGCACACGGGCAGTTGGTGATAGTCGGCAGGCGCGCGAGTGGGAGCTGGCAGTTGAGCGCGCACGCGTCTGGGAAGCTGCGTCTGAGCACGGTTGAGCACGGCGCGTGTGGTGGTTGGCGCGACGCGCGATTGGGAGTGCACAGTCATGCGCGCGCCGTCTGGGAAGCTGCGTGTGCGAGCTGCATGTAAACTCAGACGCATGGGGCTGACCCGGTTTCCATAAGCTGACTATGGGTGCACACGGTTCCACACGCTTGAGAGTTGGGCTGCAGCGCGGGCGGGACTCGCTGGAGTGCATGATAGTCGCTGGTGGGCACGTGCGGGCGGAGTGCAGGGGGAACTCGGGGAAACTCGGAAAAAAGTGGTGGGGAATTCCTCGGGAATTCGCGCAAAACTTGGGCGAAACTCGGGAGTTGCACCAGGCTGCGACAGCGTAAAAATAATTGCAGAATTTGATATATTTTGCGAGATATGTAAACATGGATGCATCAGGTTACTTTCATCGCCTTGCGCAGTGCGTGATAGGCGTCGGGGCTCAGGTCCTCCTGCAGCTGCTTCGCAGGCAGCCATTCCGCTTTAGGGAACCCTTTGAATTTTACTAAGCCCTTTAGCTTGCCACCAACATACTTGTTGGTCGCCTCGAAGCGTGATACCTTGTAGTGTGCTTCACCACGCACCTGCTCGTGCTTGCCCTTCCTGTTACCGCTGTGTGCAATATGCGCTAGTGGCATGTGCAATGCAGAATACAGCTAGCAGACAAGTGCAGCTGAGCCGTGCGCATGTAACTCTCCCACGCAATCCGAACAAAACAAAGCCACGGCGGGGCGGTTTACGCTCGTGAGGCCGCACACCTGTGTCCTTGCTTGCTTGCATCAGCGACCCAGCTTCCACGGATGTCCATTCAGGTCTTTGATGCCAAAATCTAGTCCGCTGGAACACATGCCAACCAGCGACACGCTGAAGTCATCAGCACCGCAAGGATGTTCACGTGACACCACACCACGGCCTCATCATCGCGGCTCCCTGCTCCATCCCGCCAGCAACAAACATACCAGTCGCCTGCAGCCCTTATAGGTGCAGGCGCCGCACAGCCTTGGTAAGCAACCACGATTCCACCCTCGGCGGTGCCTAGCCACCCTGCCACCAGGCCTGCATACCAAGCACCACCAGCAGCACCGCCACACAGCTGCAGCTACCGCGGCGGTAGTACCACCCCGCCGCCACAGCCTAGTCGTACAGCTCTGTGCGCAGCAGTCGCTGCTGGCGGCTGCATGTTGCCGCTGCCAGCCAGCCTCCTGCCACGTCCTGCATGGCGGCCAGCAAGCACCACGCCATGAGGCTGTGCTGCACGGAGAGTTTGCCACCCAGCTCGGCTGCGACTGCGGCAAGAGAATGGCACGCTCCTACGACAATGCCTACAGTGCAGCGGGAGCACTGCTCATGCTCATGACCTCCGACAACTCCGACACGCTGCCTGCGATGGGCGGCTCCTGCAGCTCTGCAGTTTGAAGCCAGGTGAGGACGTTATCTATGGAGCGATAGTCCTGGAAGGTCCAGCTCCCAGCCATCTTGCCATCCCGCTGTGCCCGGTCAAGGCTCAGCTGTGCATGGGTGCTGAGCACGCGGCGAAAGGGAACCACCGTGCTGCTGTAGTATTGTAGGGGCTGCGCCTCCAGGTCGCCGTATGTTGTGTCGCCGAACGCATTGGTCAACTCAGCATAGCCCTTGCCATTGGGCCCTCCCAGCCACTGGCAGTCGGCGAGCTTCTGCGACTTGAGCTCATCCCACAGGATGTGTAGCTTGAGCTTCTTGTCTGCCGGGTCCTCGTAGAAGCAAACAGCCAAGTTGTCATAGGCGCGCTCGATGGGCTGCAGGGAAACACGTGATGTGGCGGGTCACACTGCTGCAAGAACATAGGCAGCGCCAGCCGCCACAGGCTAGATGGCATACTGCGTCAAGGCCAAGAGAACCGCCTCTGCATGCCATACGCACGTGCCCATGCCCGAGCTACAGCGCTTGCATTCATGTAGGATGAGGACAATGCAAGCATGAGTGTCTATACCTTGGACAGCAGCAGCGCGTTGCGCGGTGATGAGACGTCCTCCTTGGACAAGCCCAGCAGGCGGCATGTGCCATCTGCCCAAGACAGCTTGCACAGGTGCGCAAGGCTGACGCAGTTTGGGGGGATGCCTTCCCCCAGCAGCTGGCAGCCCTTCACCCCCGCACACTGCAGCTGCAACTTCAGCGCAGATGTCTTGCGGTCTTTCTCTGGCTTGCTGTGCATTGCAGTGGAGCCGTCATGCCACAAGAGCACTTTTGAAACTAGGAACGGCATAACTGACTCCATCTTGCTGACCTTCCTCTGAAGGTCCGCCAAAGCCACTGTGTGTGGGGGGGAGGGGTCACGGCAAGGGTAAGCCATGCACTCACTCTCTCTTCGACTCTCGCCAAGCCCTTAGCCCCCCGTCGCTAGCACCACGTGATCCAGCCAACTTGGCAGCTGGACTTGTCAGTAAGTACGGCCAGTCGCCCAGTTGAAATGCATGCAGGATCTTATTAACGCAACCAACGCGGGAACGAACGGGTACAGAGCAGCAGCAGAAAGGGACGGACGGAACAACTTCCAGCTGACTTGCAGTACAGCATAGGCGCCGGGGCCCAGGCCCGCGCTGCAGCCCATGCACCCACCGTGCCATGCCCGGGCGAGCGCCCCGCCCACCCACCCCAACCTGCCTACAGCTGGCGCGCTCTATGCGAGCTCCCCTGGGGCGGGTGTTGGGCGGGTGCTGGGGCCAGGCCCGCCACCCGCCAGCCGCCCCTTGCCGCCTCTTACAGCTCCCAGCACGCACCCAACACGAGTGGGCGCAACCAGCTCACCCCACAGCCCCAAGCAACGACCCACCCGCCCCACCGCGCGACGGCCTCGCTGCTGCCCTTCCGATATAGAGGCCAGCACCCCCAGCAACGGCCTCTGCACCCCCGGCAAAGGCCCGCTTCTTTCCTTGCTTCCGTAGCGGGGGGCAGACGAGCCTCGAATTGGCCTCACCCGTCTTAATGCCATAGGCGTTCAGCCAAACCCCAATCATTCCCCCTGAGGATCGGTTCCCTTCCCACGAGCGCCAGGCCTAGAGGCCCTGCAATGCAGATGGGGTCTCACCGTCAGCTGCCGTGCTCCCGGGGCCCGGCCCTGCCGCCGCGCCTGCATGACGAGAACGTCACATGTATGCAGGTCAGGATTATTGCACATCAAGCTGTATCCTGAAGAGACAGAGGCGGTGGTTGCGCAATCGGGGATTCAATTGCAACATGCCGGAATGCTTCACATGGGGCTGGTACGCTCAGGCTGGACACGATCATTTAAGCAATCATTCAAGGTTGTGTAGGCATGGCTTGATTGGTGTGTGAGGTGAGTTCATATGCTATGTGAGGTGACGTGGTAACACGACAGGTATGTCGTCGTTAGTCATGGGAGCCCAGGAAATACCCTAAAAATGCAATATGACTAAAAAGAGTCAGCATGTGTGCATGTACCAAGGTAATATAACCCCTGCGTTGTTTTTCCCCCAGCAAAATGATTTGCACCTCACGCAGGTGCACCTGTCTGGGTGTACCTTCCCCCCAAGAGGAAGGAAAGGCGTCAGCTGTGTGTCACTCAAGACATACACTATAATGCTAGGGTTAGGCACCACTGGTAAGGCACGACCATTGCCCCCGGGAGATCCCGGGATCGATACCCGTTAGGGTCAAAGTCCTTCCGATGGTGGAAGGCAATGCGCCCCTAGTTGATGGACAGTGGTGATCTGGGATAAAGTTAACCTGCGAGCCGACCAAGAACGGAGTAGGGCTGCTGTCGACCCGGCAGATTCCGTTGGATGCTGGTGGTGGGTGCGGAACCTGAGCGATCCACTGAGAAGCTAACTAGGATGACTGGATGAGGGTGCCCCGAAATACTGGGGAACGCAGGGTTTCGCAGGGTAGCTGCCACGGGCGAAGATACACCCCCCTATTTCACACACAAATCGAATTGTAGCTCGTGGCTTGTCTGTTTGGTAGTGGAATGATACACACACGTGCAATGGGAGAGAAATGGCTGAAGGCGGTGTGCGGGTCTGTGCTAAGTGCCACAATCCTGAGAAAAGACCTGCGTATGTATTGGCGCGCAAAGCTTTTTAAGCAGCCCACATACGCACACACGCCGGTGCCGCCTTTCCTTTAGACTGCGATGTGCACACTACCATTCTCCGTCGTGCACGTGCACGGCAAGCCACTTTCGCCACCGTACGGCATCACCCTATGAAGCCGCAATGACCGCGGCCAGCTGCTTCACCAGATACCCTCGATGATTACAATACCGGAGACAGGTTACAATACCGGAGACAGGACAGAAACCCCCTCTTAAGCAGAAAACTTTTCCGACACCCTAGTTGACAGGGGATCAGTCGCATGCCGAACTTCAGATGTACCGAAAGACAACCAGCCTCACGGTCCACGCCACTCAATGTGTGCACAGCAGCATCCAAGATGCTAAAGTTGATATCTTGGCAGCGAGAGCAACCACCACGAGCAGGAGTCTATGCAACGCAGGCTCCTCTGCAAAGGATGACCTAGTTGGTGGCACAGGAACCGCGCTTAGAATTTACCTAAAGCCTGCCGAATGGCATCCACCACGCCAGGCGCCAGACGCGCTTGAACGAGATTTTCCCGTGTAGCTGCACGCAGGCGCGCAGCGGTCCGGTACTTGGCTGCCCACAGTAGCTCCAAGTCCTCTTCATCTAGCCCGGCTGAGTCCAGGCCAGCCTCTGTCACTGCAGCGCACATACGCTGCCTGTCATCTGGCGTCATTGCGCCAAACGCCAACCAACGCCACCGGTTCTCGCAGGTTCTGCTTCAGCTGCGTCGACCCCAAATATTTAGTGGAAACCCTCTACGGGAATACTACGGCTGCAAGTCGCCGTCAGCGTTGCGTTTGTTGCATTTTGCAGCTGCGGCAGCACCTAAGCTCTGATCAGAATCCAAGGAGTGTGGCTTATGTATTCAAGCCGTGTTGGAATAAGTGACGTGGAGCACCTATCCGAAATGTAGCAAAGGACCAATGAAGACAAGATGTTATATGTTGTACGGGCCGTACTGGTCAGCAAAACATGTGTCCCCCACAGAGTTTGTCAAATCGGTTTCTACAGCTGCGGGAGGGCATAATTTCGGTAATTAAAACTAAAAAAATTGTCGCCTTCCGGCGCCAAGGAAAACAGCATTTCAGGGCTGCACGTTCCGTACACACTGCAGGTTCGTCGCCAGGCAAGTTCTTGCGCCATGAAGCTCGCTCCTTCGCTCCTTCTGTAACGCCGCTAATCATAGTGTTGCCGTCCCATGTCGACGAATACGACAGTTGTCATTACATTTTTCCGCTCATCTTCAACGCTTCTGTTATGCGCCATGATTCCCCTGCTAAGTATCGAGTTGCCGCGAAGACATCCTCTGCCTTTAACTTTCATCAGCCTGCCTCTCGCGTTGGGCTGCGGTGCGTGCCGTCCAAACGACCGTTGTTGCACGGTGATATTATTGATACGCAATAAAGCACGTGTGTTCTGTCCTTCGTTGGTATATGGATCCTCATGCAACCATCGGCGACCAACTGTTGATGACAGGCGTAGCGCGTTTCCAGGCCCCTGGGTGTTGAATACAGTCTGCCAATGCCTCTACTCGCGCATGGTAATATCACGATGTAGCCTTGCAATATGTAACGTTCTGGCAACCGCCTGCTATTGGCCCCTGATCACAGCACTCTGACCAGGCTGACTGTAGTAATGCCGTACATTTTGTAAATTTCCTGTAAACAGCGAGTCAGACTGCTGTAATTTTTGAAGAAAGGTATGCGATGACCCATTGATGAATTAGGCGTCGCCCATTACAGGAGGTCGCCACAATGGCGATGCGCTCAGCACTCCTGCAGCTTTCTGACAGCGTGGGCGTAGGAATTCTTGGCCTCAATCGTTCTTGCTGGGGTGCCAGCACTAGTTCTAGCTCGCCGCAGGAGGGTTGGCTGGGTCTCCGACTTTTGCGCACGCTTGCCGATTGCAACGCTTATTTACACCCACAATTACAGAATATCTTAACGACACCAACCAGGCAGCAGCATGCCGTTCCAGGTCCATGTCGCTGGCCCCTCGCGAGCGGCATGGTCATCAATGTGCGTGGCTACAAGAGCAATAAGCGGTCGCTCAAGCCCATGAACACAGCTGCCAGCTGGCAGGCTATCCAGCCGCTCGTGATGGAGCAGCAGCAGCGGCAAGAGGTGCTTGGCGGGACAAGTAAACCGCATCGGCGGCGATGGCAGCCTAGATTGGGCCCCATCGTCGACACCTGCCTCCCCGCAATTCCTAAGGTGCTCATACCTGCTGAGTACAAACGCGTAGGCGTCATCATGGGCCAGTACAGCTTGAAGCCCGAGCGGACGTTTGGGATCGTGCAGTTGGCGGGTTCACAGTTCAAGGTCACAACCGACGACATCATCTTCGTAAACCAACTGACGGACGTAGAGGTCAACGACGTCCTGGCGCTTGACCGCGTCATGCTGCTTGGCTCTCGGGCTGAAACCATTGTCGGTCGGCCCTACATACCAGGCGCGACCGTGCTCGCAGCAGTCGAAGAGCACTTCCGCGACGGCAAGGTGCACGTGTTCAAGAAAAAGAGGCGGAAGCGGTACAAAAAGTACCAGGCTCCGCGCGCAAACCTCACCACGCTGCGGATCTTGCAAATCCGAGGAATCCTGCCTGCCCCGGGGGACGAGCTGGCAATGGTTCCAGAGCTGCCAATCGAGCCAGTACAGCCCCAGTTCGCCGCGCGGCTGCCAGCCCAGCTTGACGTCGCTGCGGCAGATGATGATGGTGAGGGGGAAGAAGAGGAAGAGCTGCAATTGCAGCAGCAGGAAGTACAGGTGGGTGCACGGGGGCCTCCACAGCGGCAGTAGCACCACCAGCAGCTCCACCACCACCTGAACCGCGATCAGCAGTAGCACCACCACCAGTACCACCACCAGTACCACCACCAGTACCACCACCAGTACCACCACCAGTACCACCACCAGTACCACCACCAGCACCGCTGTAACTGGTGCAGTGAACGGGAGACGCTGAATGATGTGTTGTGATGTTGGAAGGGCCTCAAAAGGCGGCGAAGGGAAGTCTCCCCTCGCCTAGCCGCTGCGGATGATGCGATGTTGCCCGTGCATGGGATGATGCGGTGAACTCAGCGGTGCATCAGCTTAGCGACATGTATGATGGCTCACCATTGCCATTCTTGTGGAATGGAGTTGAGGAGGGAGGGACAAGCGAAAGGCGTTGGGTGGCTATCCGGTAGAATTGCAGGTAGCGGCCACCAACCGAAGTAACTACATCCAACCGAATGTGAGGGCCCTAACCAACCTAGCAGTATCCTCGACCCCCACATATCCTCTCGTAAACGGACTTGAGGGCCTCGTGTCGGTAAGAGCCTGGTAAGCGGCGCTTCTGAAGGCACAAGTGATGGGTGCTTCACTTGTGGTGGAAGGACAGGTTGTGGCCTCTCGCTTGCAGAGGCCACCAAGAGATGGAGCGATGGATTCCCGTCAGATGAAGTCACTGGGTACCGTACCGTTATGCTGTCGCGTCTGGCTGGAAAAGGATGGTTCTGTGTGTATCTGCGGTAGGGTGAGTGTTTGTGTGTGTGTCTATGTGGTCCACAAGATTATTTAATATTAGGCGGGTCGGAGGACTACGACGACGAGGAGGAGGGGGGGGAGGAGGGGGAGGACCAAGAAAACGCACTATTTGAGTTCCTGCGGTGGCGGGGGTTGCTGTGCAAGTGGTCTTGAACACCTACACCCTTTTTGGCAACCTTGATATAGCTCTGTGAAGGCTTGGAGTTTAGGAAGAGATTCCTTGGCTCATTTGCGGCCGGTAGCCCTCTCTCTTTTTCGACTGAACTGCTCCAAGTCCTATATCGGACTTTGGTGGTACAGTCGAAAGGACTGTTGTAGGCTGCAGTGGTAGTTGGTGGTTGGTGGGGTAGTGCGCTAGACTTAGGTCCTAAGTTTGTAAGCGAAGCATGACACAGGCGGTGCCGTCATTGCCTGGAAGATAAAAGTAGAACACAGCGGAGCGGGTGTGTGTGTCCGATTGTGATGACATGCGATATTGCGAGGATGCAAGACGCCGGAAAAAGTTTTTACCCCCTTTACCCCCTGCTTTCTTGTGATGTGCATGGAGGTTCGCAAGCAATCAAAACACATGCCTCTAAAGGGCTACTACGGCAACTCAGGCCAGAATCCTCCTCTCATGGTGATACAGCGATGACGAAATTACAGCGGCCCGTTTCTCCCCCACACGCAACCCATTCCAGTCCCAGCCCCAGCTCGCATTACAGCGAGGCCGTGTCACGGAGCACACGACCAAGACAAGATATGCAATTTACGACAATGTACGGCATCAGCTCATATACGTAACCCTGGACTTTCTTTCCACACTCGACAGGAACCATGGGCCACGCACACCGCCTCCAAATCCTTCACGGCTTCGGCGCCTTCCCAATCTTTGACCTGCCGCCGGCGCTCTCCTCGCGCCTGGAGCCCATTGACTTAGCACCGCGCCCCAAGGACCGCGCAGGACGGCACGACAACCCCAATAAAAGCCAAAGCACTCTCAACCCCGAAGCCGCGCGCCCTCGCCAACAGAAAAAAGCCGGCGGCAGAAGCCCCTCAGACTGGAAAGAAACAGCCAATGGGGTGGTAGATAAAACCTAAAACTGGAAGACGCCAGGGCACGAGTCATGGGTTGATCCGCCGTAGCATGGGCTTGCTTTCGTTTCCTTTTCGCTTTACGGTTGAGAGTGCGAATGTAAGTAGCCTTATTGGGGGGCACACGACGGCACAGAGGATGACGACGAAAAAGACGAAGAAGAAAAAGAAGGTGCAGGGTGGGTAAATAAAAACATCTCTCTCCTAGGTCAAGCAGGTGACTTATGACTTGTATTGGATGAGGGCTTGTTGAATGAGGGATGTGGGTGTCTTGTCTTGAACAGCCCGTCTCGATGTCCCCCCCTCTCTCCCCTCCCCCTTACCAAGCCGTTCTCTATCCTCTTTTTTTCCTCATTGCGAGTTAAGGCCTCCCTATGTCTCGTAACGGTCCCAACTGGCCGCCATCTGCGAGCGCCTCTCACGTCCAACAACGAGTGCGCCATGCAGCCTTCACACAAATTTTCAAGCACGCAAGATACAGATGTTTTTTTCCAACATCACACACACTCTCTTTCTCTCTCTCTCACACACACACACACTCTCCCATTCACATATTCGGGGGGGACATTGGCAAAGGATACCCACGCGCTTTGGGGGGGGGTTGCACCTCTCTTCTCATTCGCCGCCATTCTTTTCCTTTCCTTGCATTGCCTGTTGTTGCTTCTGTTCTCGGAGTAGCCACGGATTGACAGAAAAATACGCAACACCGTTTGAAAGCGCAAAGAGACACCGGGGGGGGGAGGGGGGTTGGGGGGAAAGACGAACCACGAACGAGTGAAGCTGCTGCCAGGGGGGTTGGGGGGATATGCCCACGCGGCCGTGTCACACTCGCTGCCGAAAGCAGAACCCTCGACGAGCCGAGCCGAGCCAGTGGAGCAACACCAGCAGCAGCAACTTGCATACTTCACGCTGACACCATCTTCTATCCAGAGCATACCCCCCCTCCCCCTGGTACACTCTTTACTTGGCAGCAGCTTCACTCGTTCGTGGTTCGTCTTTCCCTCCTACACCTCCACCACCCCCATCACCTCTCGGCCCGCCCAGTCAGACCACACTCCGCCAGTCAGGTCTCTAATGCATCCGCCAGTGAAGCCGCCGCCGCCGCCGCCGTAGCCGCCAAACCCAAACCGATCCCAACCCAGCTAAGGGATCTTTTGTGTGTGTGGCGTTCATGTGGCTGGCGTGTGTTGTGTGGCGCGTGTGTGCCACCAAGCCCCTTCAAAAACCCAAGGCCAGTACAGAAGCGGGCCCCCCCCCCACCGAAGCGACAGCCGAAAAGCCTAAAAGTGGTTCATACAACGGCGATGTGTGAGGAGGTGTGCGCGCTTCCTTGCGTTCGTGTGTGTGCGCCTATGTGCTATGTGCCTGCTAGTGTGCATCAGCACTAGCACCTCAACAGCACCCCATGATGATCATCATCATCATCATCACCGCCATAGTCATCGCCATCATCATCAAGCCATTTCATCATCACCAGCGCCGCTGTCCGAGTCGTCCCTGTGGCGGGTTCGTGGCGGGTTAGAGCGGTGGGGGGGTGGGGCCGGGCTTTGGAACCGAATGGAACCGGGGTTGAGCGACGATACGAGTGGTTGCGCAAAGAAAGGATTGGAGCCAGGGGAGAAGAGTGTGTGCGTATGTGTGTGTCGGAAGGGGGGGGGAAAGGGGGAGGAGGTGAGACGGCACGGCAGCAAGGCTTTTCCCGCAAGCATCATGCTCTTACTGCACTCACCTCACCACCGCCGCCTTCGCCGTCTCCCCTCCCCCCACTTCACCCATCGCCAGCTCGCGTCCCTTGGACACCTTCCTCTCCTTCTCCTTCCCGTTCTCCTCCGCCTTCGCCTTCGCTGCGCTCGCCCCGGAGCCCGCGCGCACAGCCTCCTCCTCCTCCTCCTCCTCTGCCGCCGCCGCTGCCGCTGCCGCCGCATCTGCAGTGCCGCCGCCGCCGTCGGATGGCTCCTCCGCTGCCTCCACCTCCACCTCGTGCTCTTGCTCGTCCACCTCCTCCTCCTCCACCTCCACATCTTCGTGGTGCGCATCCAACTCAACAGCTGCAGAGGCGGTGCAGCCGGACGCCGTACAGTTTACGATACGAGTACGATACATGTACGGGAAAAGGCATCAGTACAGAGTACCGGTACCAGCACTACCGTACATACGCACAACGTACTGACGTGCGTGCACACGCGCACTGCACACACATACATACACACATGCACACCCCTCGCCACCACCCCACACACGCACGCGCGCTCTTCTCCTGCACCCATCAAGGAATATCCCCTCTGCCTCACCCCCTTGGTTATGGTAAGCACCAATCCCGTTATCTAATACCACGTCCTAAATGCACTACAAAAACTCCCATCTCCTTAACAAGCCCCGTACATACACATGCCGTACGACACTCTGCCGTACTGACTTCCCGTCATCCCAATCGCGTCAGCCTGACTCCGTCCCCTCCTCCGCCCTTCACTCGCCTCCAAGCCCTACCTTCCAGCGCCTCGCGGTCTTCCTCAGCCACATCCTCATCCTCGCGGCCCTCCACAGTGGTTCCCTCCGCCGCCGCCGCCGCCCCCGCCCGGCCCGTCGTACGTGCCTCCGCCGCCCGCTGCCGCCGCTCCGCAATGCCCTGCCGCCGAGCTTTCGACCGCAACCTCAGTCCGTCCTTCTCTAACTCCAATTCAGCCAACACTGCCTCCTGTTGGCGGTTGTGTCAGTTATGGCGGTTGTGTCAGTTATGATGATTGTGGTTGTGTTGTGAGTTGTTTTTTATGGATGGGTGTGACGTAATGGACGACAAGACATGACATGCAGACAGCCCCGTTCCTGCTTGTCCTCATACCACTGCTCTTCTACCTGGTTCATGTTGTACAATACACACCCACGTATTGCTGCACCTATACCTTTGCATCGCAGAGCCCTCTGCACGCGAAAGGCTTTTTTTAGAAGTTGAAAAGGTACATACATACATGCATACTTACAAACAAACAGACATACATGCACACTCAACAGTTCCGAACCCATGCCTGGATGACCCAGATGGTCCCTCAACCTCCCAACCCCATTCCGACAGTCAATGCTTTGGACACCACCACTGTCGTCCTTCCTTCCGTCATAGAATTATATAGTATCACAATACCCCCCCACACACATACACACACACTCACACACACGCAACAAAACACTTTCAGCCCCACCCAAATCCATACCTCCCAGTCCTTAAGCTCCTGCTCTTGACGCTCCTTCAGCGCCAAAGTCGACGGGCAGTGAGACACAGGCAACCAGTACACCGCCTGCGGCTGGTACTGCTGAGGAAATGTTTTGCCAGCGCCGCCGTTACCGTTGCCGTAACCGTTACCGTTGCCGTCACTTGCAGGAACGCCGTCGGCACGGAGGAAGGCCGCCAGTGCGCGGCGCCTGGCCAACTTCTTAGCGTACAACAGCTCCAAAACCTACCCATTTATACGGACATACGGAAGGGAAGTAATATACATTAATTCAAGGAAGATTCGTAAAAGGAAGATTCATAAAACTCTCTCTCTCTCTCCCCCCTTAACTCTTGGTTTTTATCCCTCCCTTTTTTTCTTTTCTCACGAGGCCTTCAAAACTGATGATCTCACGCTAAGAATATGCACTGACGCACTATTAATCCTCCCTTCGAAAGGTGGAAGGGATATTATACCGCACATCCCCCAATGTTCATGTTCATGTCCGAACACACCACTACCATGCTTACGTCCCCCGACCCAACCCCCCCGGGCCATCTAAACCCCCTGGCCCCCTGGGCCCCCCTGCCGCCCCTGGCCCCTCGACACACCCCTCCCATCTCCCATCTCCAAGCCCCAAAGCCACGCACACCTTGATGTCGGTAGCCAGGTTGAGATCCATCAACGCATCCAGCTCCTCCTGTCGCTTGCGGGCCCGCTCCTCCGCTGCCTGGCGCCGCAGCCGCTCCGCCTCCGCAGCCGCCTTCTCCTCGGCCTTCCGGGCCAGCTCAGCGCGCCGAGCCGCGGCATCAGAAGCCTACAGGAAGGCGGAAAAGAGAAGGTTCGATCGATGTGAGTGACAGCCAGCGAGCAACGAGCCACCACCGACCGCTGCTCCGTCTGCGACCGCCACCATCACCATCACCATCACCATCACCACCACCACCACCACCGCCACACATTCAACCTAAATCCAAATCGAAATCTAAATCCAAATCTAGCGCACCTGAAACGCAGCATCTTCCTGTCGGAATCTTTGCAAGGTACCCAACAGCGTGCGACCCAGCAGCCTGCGAGCCCGTTTGCGGCTATCGGGGTCCTCAACCACCACCGCCGCGGCGGCGGCGCCGGCGGCAGCGCTGCCGGCACCCGCGCCGTCAGCGTCGGCTGCTGCCGCCGGTGCAGGACGCTTCGTGCCGCGACCACCTGCGCCGCCGTAACCATGCTCGTGTCCGTCATCTTGATTGCCGTACTCTCGGCGACGGCGGTCCTGGCGTTGGGCGTTGGACGAGTGAAACGGCCGCGGGGCCGCCGCGCCGCGGGGGTTAAAGGGGTTGAGGGGGGAGGGGTAAAGATCGCGCGTATGTCCCGGGTCCCAGCTTTTGCCGGGATGGGGCCGGGGTCATGGGGCGTATGATGCACCAACGCAACTTTATGTTCAGTTCCTCTGTTCACTTCCTGTTCATAACTCCGAACCTCCGAACTGGCACCGACAGGCCGCGCAGACAGGCCGAGCTTGCAGGGTGGAAGGGGCTAGGGGGAGAAGGAGTTACGACTACTCAAGAAACAATCAGGTGCGTTGCATGGAGGCCAATCATGCGGTGCATGCTGCGTCAATCGCATCACAGCATCCCCTTCCGTACAGTAAGCGGAGGTCTACAGGAGGTGGAAGGTCCTAAAGGACACACACACACACATCCATGCATACATACATACATACGCGCGCATACAATGGCAGCAGCAGCAGCAGCAGCGGCGGCGGCAGCGGTGTAAAGCCACACTCGTCTGCCATAAACGCCAACGTCCTGCTAGCGGCTCGCGGATTCTCTAGGAGGCACACTCAGCCGCGGCAGTGTCAGCCAGGCGCCTGTGAGCGAGAGAACAACACGACGACGACGAAGACGCACCTCGTCCCAGCCCCAGCCGCGGTCCCGGGATCGACCCAGATCACGATCATCATCTCCAACAAGGGCGGGTCCTAGCCGCCGGCCGCGGCTCAAGTCTCGGTCGCTGTCACCGTCCCGGGCCCGATGATGTCCGTGATGATAATCACGGTCTCGGTCCGCATCCCCCCTTCCTGGCACATTCTCTCGTCGGCTGTCCGGCTGGCCCGTTTTGTCGGCGTGAGCCGCCTCGTGCTGCTGTTGCTGCTGTGGTGCGTGGTCGCTGACGACAACGGAAAGCACTGCCCTGCGCCGCGGCGGCGGTGCGGCCACGGCCACGGCAGCGGCATCTTCGTGGTCACGGAAGCCGCGGCCGCCACCGCCGCTGCTGGGGCCGGAACCTCCGTGGAAGCGGAGGCTGCCCCTCGATGGGCCATCGTGGGGCCCGGCTCCGCCGGGCAGTCCGCGTGGGGAGGGTCCGGAGCCCAGGCGGCCTGAGAGGGGACCTTCACGGAGGGTGCTCGCTGCGCGCGGGCCATCAGCGACACCGCCACGCAGAGGCGGCGGACCGCTGAAGCCCCGCTCCGGACCGAATCGGCCGCTTCCCAGCGCCGGCCGAGATGGCACCAGCGCGGCATCGCCAGAAGCATTTCGTGCTTGGGTTGCCGTTCCTGATAACGGCTGACGGGATGCTTGGACTCGCTGGCTGGCCTGTGCGCGAGTGTGCCAGATCAAACATGCGAGCGGCCTTGAACCATAGGCACAACTTTGCGGATAAGTTCCTAAAGATGTGTAGGATACAGGTCGCATAGGACGATCCGTGCAGTGGGTCGCTCACCTCATACCGCTGTCGCCTTAAAGCTTCCAGCTCGCGCTCCAGAACAGCAGGATCTAGGGCGGCCATTCCCTGCTTGATCTTTTGTGTAGGGACTGTAACGTTTGACGACAACGGATAGCAGTGAAAAAACACCTCAGGCAGGCACCTGGGCCGATACTTCCACTTTCTTGCCTTCAGCAACTTTGTTGAGATTCTGTTAGGACTTGATAAATAGGATTGGAACTTTAACATTCTTCTGCTCTGCAATCCACTCCTGGCCGCAGTAAGTTATCGTACAATTAGACTCTTTGGGCTTTGATGTGTCAGCCGACCATCCCAAATCCTCGCATGAAGCTGCTATGTTTCTGTTTTTACGAGCGACCATATTCAGTCTCAGAGGAATTTTAGCGGACGAGCAAGAGACCGCAAGCATGCAAACGCCGACACCTTAAGGATTGCCGTCATCCTGCCGGCTTCCTTTCTCTGTTGTAAAATCAAGATCGCTAACGTTAGCGATGCCGGCATGTGGCGGACTCTCAACTGCGGATAGGAGTGCGGCAACATGGTCCGAGACATAGCAGGGCTTTCGCCTTTGGCTTCCGGTAGCATCTGTTGCCCGTGAATATAATATTCGTGCTTAATTTTTGCACGTATCAACGCGTTCGCTGGTTGGGTTTGAAGCTTCCGATTCTCGGCCAATCCTCAACGGGCTGATTGCGCATTGAAGGCTGTGTGAAGCAAGAGGTTTCAGTCGCAAAAATCAACAGTCCATACAATCTTACGCGCACGTAAAGCAGGGTGCCTAAGGAGGCCCTGAATCGTGACCGCAGGTTTATAGCGTGCACAAAAGCGGGCACGCTCCAGTTTAGCTTTGCAGACCAGCAGTTCCGGCAGTAAATCATTGCCAAGCGCCTTTATTCAAGGACACGTCCGTAGAGAAGCCTGTCGTAGAGGAACCTGTTGTACGTACGCTGGCAAAAGGGTACATGGGAAATGGAAATCTCAGTAGTATTCTGGCCGATGTACTATCAACACAGGCCGCCGGCAGGACAGCCGTTTTCATCACCGCCGCGTCTACCTCTACCCTCTTCACCCACCTTATTGCCCACTTCGCCTCACCCTACCCTCCACTCCCCAGCACAGCCTTACGTCATCCCCCCAGACCTCATCACCTGGCTCCGCAACCTGGCTCCTCCACACTACGCTGTAGTCCCTAGGTGCGCAGCTTCGGCGGGCAGCCCCCCCCAAACCTTCTTCTCCTGGGCTATCCGTCTATCTCGGGTATCTGCTTCATTCGCCAACAGTGGTTCGTCTTACACCCCACCCACCCCAACCTAAACCAGAAGCGCTATCTCTTTGCGCTACCTCCCACACCGCCTCCGCCACCACCGGGCTGTGAGGACCTCCCCTCAACTACACGATCTCCCAACAGTCCGCTCCGGAACCATCTACCCTCCTTCTCTCTACTACCACATCATTATTACTTCCCTCGTTGCCTTCAAATTTGTGTTTCTTTGAGACAGTTTTGATCTCATGGACTACCAAACTTTGCGAGCATCACAATTCCAATATATCTTCGTATTTTCCATAATGTCCAAGATCTTCTTGATCCTATGATTTGAAACATTGTTTTCCGAGATTGTCTTATGCTTTAAAATTTTGTTCTAATTTTGTTCTATGCTTTTAATTTTTTATCGCCTCAATTATTCATCAAGACGGCTCCTAACTAAAGGTGCTGGGACGAGTATCATGACCCAGATTTGTATTGCCGTGCATGTGCCGTACCACCTCGAGCACCTCTTGACCTACATTAGTCGTACAACATTCCGAAAGCAAAAGAAATGCCGCCAAAACCGTTATGGAGGTTGCAATGGCAACGGGCATCACGACTGATAAGGGCTTGTTGCAACCGCCGCGGCTGCCGACGCTACTGCTGCCGCCGCCGACAGCACTCAAAGGAAGGCAACGGCGGAATACGACGGGCTTTCCCGTGCAGCAGCGTCGCCGACAACGTACGGGAAATAGCGGCGACGACGGCAACGCCTCCGCCTGATGGTCCGATACGCTCAATCGCCTCCCAGTAACCGGCATACATCATTGCTACAGCCACCACCACTAGGAACAGCTGTAGCATTGCAAGGCGCAGCAGTAGCGCCTTAAGCTCTAGAAACCATTGCTCCCGCTCAATAAAAAATGCCATGCCGTCGGCGTACCTGCGGTTGGCAGTTGACGGTTGACGTACACGCGGGCACGGTTATCAGTTGACCGTTAACTGATTTGATCCGGATAGGACCCATACACCTACAGACCTAACCCTTCCCCGAGCATATGCACATTCGGATATAGTGGCTTAGCCGTACATCCGTCATACACGGCTAGTTTTACACGGCTAGAAAACACACCCACGCACCCACGCACACCCCCCCACACGCACCCACGCACACACCCCCACACGCACCCACGCACACCCCCCCACACGCACCCACGCACACACCCCCACACGCACCCACGCACAACCCCCCACACGCACCCACGCACACCCCCCCACACACACCCATGCACACCCCCCCACACGCACCCATGCACACACCCCCACACGCACCCACGCACAACCCCCCACACGCACCCACGCACCTGTCGCCATCCACAAATCCACCCCAGGTGCCGTCGGGCAGCAGCTGGAGATCCGCGTGGTGGACCCTCTCCGCGTTCCAAGACACACCATCGCGACGGGGCTCGTACCGCGTTACGACACGTTCGACGTACGACGACTCATTCGCCACGTCAGCGCGCAGCAGCACTAGCGCCTCGCCGTAATACCGACTGCAATCCTGCGACCAGCGGTACAGCGCATCACCCAGTACGAACGGCCGCCCGCCATTGCGCGCATACCGCGGGTCAGCGTCGATGCCGTACGGCACGCGCCCGCCATTCGCCTTCAGCGAAGCAGCGCCTGCCAGATTGCTTGGATGCGCCCGCCATTCGCCAAGCAGCTCATCGGCAGTGTACAACAGCAACGTGTATTTGGGTTGACGGGCGGGCGGGCTCCCGACACGGGTCGTGAAGATCCACCAGCGGCTCCGAAACCACACCGGTGCCGTATCCACGTACTTGGCGGGGGCACCAAATTGAAACCAGCGTCGCGTCGCGGCCCATCCTGGATCATCCAACTGCCGGCTTGACAGCAACTGCCAACCGAACGGGAAGGTCTCCTGCGAAGTCCCGTACACACGTACTGCGCCATCCCGAGCAGCGGACGTCTCCGGGAACATTAGGTACTGCTCAGTCGTACTGTCGTACAGGACGAGCGGGAAGGACAGGTGGAAGGACTCTGCCAGTGCAGTGCCGAGGTGAAGCCATGTGGCGCCATCGTCGTACGACACCGCTACGCCGAGCTCGCCGATGTAACGCGCCAAGTTCTTCATCTCGTAAAAGGCGAACCAAGGAAGGCCATCGCCTCCTCCACCGGCGTCGTCACCTCGCTTTGCTCCATTGCCGAAGGTGCTGTTTGCTAGAAGGATGGCAGCTGTCAGCGGCGCGATGCTTCTGTCGGGGATGAAGAGGAAGGGGTCCGCCACAAAGCTTACGGCCGTAGCGTTGGCCAGGTTGGCGCAAGTTATAACCGGCTCGGGGGAAACATCAAGGTGCATCGGATCGGGGGAACCCCTGGCAAAGCCGATCCGCCATGAGCCCTCGTAGTCCCAGGAGCACGCGTTGAGACCATGGCTGAGCTGCTTGCGGGTGAAATGACGTAACTTTATCAAGCCGACCGGCTTATCAATAAGTGGGTCTATGATCAAGACAAGGATGATGCCCAGGCTTAGGGCTATGTAGGCGACAAAGCCAGCGCGGAACTGCAGCGGAACTGAGGGCTGCATGATAGCGCTCACGGCCCTCCGCTGCTGCCGACCGTCGCGATTAATTTCTTTTGGCCTTCAATATCATACAGGTGTAGACTTGGTGTGGTGCAATAAGCATTTTCAAATTCACATTGCAAGTTTAGAGCTTAGTATATTTAAAATTGCAAGAAAATAACAAGTGTGTTCTTGTCCACCTATGCGCAAGGTGGTTTTGCGCGATACGCAACCTCAAACTGAATTAACGGCCATACGGCAATATGAAATGCAAGCAACTAGCAAACTGATTAAGGATTGATTCCGTTAAGCTTTAACGGGTGCGGGATTGGGGTGGTCAGGCATCACAACTTCAAGACTGCGCCTAGACATAAAAACATACGCTCCTTCTCGTGGACCGAAACATCGCCTTATTATATTTTCGATAGATATAAATACTCCTGCTATAGGCACCTGCACTCTAATTGGGTGCGTACGGCCTTCGGCCCAGAACCCCACCCCGCCGCCAGGAAATGCTGCTGTCCAGCAGCCTAACGAGGCCAAGCACTCACACAACAGTTCCAGCATGCAACAGAGCTCTCGTCCTATCAGCTCGAATCCTCCTACCATGCGTCGCAGCAGACCAGCCCCACCGCGCTGGCCCGGTGCCTCACCATCCCCCTAGCGCTGGTTCGCCCGGTGCTGCGTCCATCCTCGCCACCGGCAGCCGCAGCTCCACCCTATGCCGCGCAGCGCGACGCCCTCCTCCCCCCGAAGACGACATCGAGGACATGACTGTGGAGCAGCGTCTGGAACGTTTGTCGCAACTCTCCGGTCGCGTCGGCGAGATGCGCAGCGTGTTTGACCGAGAAAGCCTGCTACGCCAAATGGGCGCTCTGGACCCTGCGCTGTACGCCCCTCCCCAACCTTCCCGCAAAAAAATATCTACTGAAGAAGCTATCGAGGAAGGAGAGGAAGAGGAGGATGTCGATGATGACCGGCCATTGGAATGGATCGAATGGAACGACGACCCCCTGACCCACGTGGTCAACAATACAATTATAGAGCGGCTTCCGGATGGTATGCGACGCCGACTGCGACTAGCCCGTGACGCAGATGAGGACGAGGCGGTTATTTCAGTTCCGTTGCACAACTGTCTGTCAGTTTACATCTGTGAGGGACTGGAAGTGCAGGACTCCCTGGAGCGCCAGGTACGGCACGTGCGACGTTTTTCTTTTAAGCATGAGTGTACTAAAATTTGGAAAGAACCATCGCTATCACCATCGCCATCGCCACCAGCATCATCTTCATCGTGTGCGCACGTGTTTTGTGTGACAAGAGTTAGTCCGGCGGCCCCCCTGGCTTTTTTCATTCCATAACATCTCGGCTTCCCCGGCTCGTTCGCGACTTCCCCTCGACGATGTCCTGACGGTGTCCAGCAGGGCCCCTCGGGACCTCGACGGTTTGGATCACCCGCCGAGCACCTTGCGCGCAAAGGGCTTTATCAACGGCGGAGTCCGAAAAGCTATGTATAGATATAGACATAATAGATAGATAGATAGATAGATATAATCACCCTGCGCGAACAAAGAAAACAAAAGAAACCCCAAAAGATAAATCCTTCCAAAAACTATTCGGTTAACAATCTGTTCTTCCCAAAAGCAGCTCAACCAAGAACCCAAACCTATTATAAACTCATCCAAGTAATTGAGAAATGACAAAGTAAAACCCTAAAACCCTAAAATTCAAGTTTGGAAAAATTTCTGATTTGATCTGTTTGCAGGAAGCGGCCGCCGACTTTAGCCGTATGCAGCTAGCTTTCCTGGAGCGTTGGGCCGTGTATCATGGCCCCATGCCGCCCGCCCTTGTGGACTTCCTGTGCGACTTCTCCTTTGACTCCCCCCCGGCTCGCGCCAAAATGGCGCTGTGGGTCTTGTGGTTGGCTGAGACCGGCAGCGACTACTGGCGAGAGGTGCTCGGAGCGCTGACACCACCGGAGGACATGCCGCATGTGGGTTTGGTTTTTCTTTAAAAAATTAACGATTTTAGTGGACTACTTTATTACGGGTTTTAGTGGGTTTTAATCAGAGCCTTCGTTGGTTAGCTTTAATGTGTTTTGTGTGCGCGCGCGTTCGTTCTCATCGTCCGTTGAGGTTTTTGCGCCCACCATGAGCGTGTATTGTCTAAACTACAGGTGAGGCTGTCTCATGATTTGTGTGTGTGTATGTGAATTTTGTGTATATGTTATTTTGGTTTTGCATTAGGGGGTAAAAGGGGGTAGTAGAGTACGGCAGTACGGGACCATGCGGGAATTTTATTCGGACCTCCTCGCATAGTGACCTCCTAGCCACCCGTCTTCACATCCCCCTCGACTTTCCATTCCATGCACTCATTTCCCTCTTCCCGCGCGGCTTCCTCATCACCCCTTCCTCCTCTTCCTCTTCGTATCCGCTGTTAACCGAATTTACATGTCCAGGTTGAGTTCTGTACGGACGACGAGCTCATGGAGCTCCAGTGGATGCCGTACGCTCTGCCCATCAGTATACGGCGGGAGGCGTTACGAACCTTCTGGGAGTATTTTGGCGCGTCGCCGCTGGCGGAGGGAATGGGCTGGCAGAGAACATCGGAAGTGGATCCTCTGGATCCAGAAGGATCCTCCGCGGCGGCGGCGGCGGCGGCGGCGGGCGAAAGATCCCCAGAGCCCCTCCGTCCGCTTCCTCCGTTTGAGCGGTTTCTTTGGGCCTACTGCCATTCGGAAGCTCGGTCACTAGGCAATGGAGAGCGAGTGGTGTTTTTCCCGCTGGTATGGTTTTGACGAGGTTTTGCGAGTTTTGGGTTTTGTTTTATTGAGTTTTGAGTTTTAGTTCACCCGTCACCCAAACGCGCACACACCGGTCACAATACAAACCACCAGGGCCTGCTCTCTGTCTGTCTGTCTCTCAAAAACGCGATATCCTGTTAGAGGACGCCATGTCCACATCTTCCGGCGGTTTCCATGCGCGTATCTTCAAGTAACCGTGTTCAGTGATATAAAACCCTAAAACCCTAAAACCACTACATCCACTGCATCCACACCGGGCTCAGTTTCTAAAACCGAGATCCAGATCCGCACCCACACCCCCCCACGTAGGCTGACCCCTGCATCTACACCACTGAGCCCACAACGATCAACACGACCTTGGCGGTGGTGGCTGACGACGGCCCCACTTTGGACGAGTTTGCCGTACTAGCCACATTGCGGTGAGTTTAAGTTTGGGTTTTATTTTACGTTTTAATTTGGGTTTTCATTTGAGTTTTATGCCGGATTTTTATGTCGGGAATGCAATAAATATGTTTTGGATTTCGGTTTTCTGGGGGGAAAGGGAGTTTGGGGAGGTTTAAGTTAGGATGTTGGGATATTTTATCTAAAGCAAATCTTGGCGATTGCCCCCTGGTTGCGTCCCGTCGGGACATGTGTACATACCGGCAAACACACAGGTTCACATGCGACGATGCGTTGTCCTCTTATCTGAGGCTTCTTGAGGCTTTTTTTCCTGTCTTTTAAAACTAAAGCCAGATGTGCTGTGTCTCTTGTGTCATAATGAACTCATCTAAGCTGTTCTCACGCGATGTGACGCGATGCTATGTATGTTTTGCTGCGCTCTCCACTACCGTCTGTACCACACTGTCCGACACGTTTGGGTTTTTTATCCTTGTCCTGCAGGCCGTTACAGAAAGGCGAGCTACTGCATGCACATGCGCCTTTCGGTGAGGGTGTTGCGGAGGGAGGCGGCGGTGCCACCAGCCAACTGCACACCCAATTCGGGATGGTTCCGGAGCTAGGAGGCAACGAGGCAGACCTGCAGGACCTGCAGCCGGAGACGGTGGGGACCGATTGGAGGGTCCTTTTTTTGTTTCAAGGGGCTCTCAGGTTTCGATTTTTTTTAGTTGTTGGTGTTTGGGATTTTAGTTTAGTAGGGTGTTGTGATCCGGGGGAAGGGGGAGATGAGGGGTCGATTACCAGCGCTTTGGAAGCACAACCGGAATCTATCCGCGAATGATTTTGTGACAACGTGTGTCAATTACGTTCTTTAGATGGGATATTTTGATATCTTGAAAAAAGACGGGTTGGTCACTTTATCTTGTGAGGCTGAATGAATGGCAGTATGAAGAAATAACTGCCGCTTTTACAGCTGTTAAAAATCTATGGGGAATAAAATAAATAAATAAATAATGATTTTATCAAATAACGGTCAAGCCATGAACTTTGAAATATGCAAAATCAGAGCGTGGGTGGAATCTGGCAGCCTAGCTACATTCATTTGAAAAAGGATGTTTTCACATACACTCCCTCGCATATGCACTCTTACACACACATACACTTACAAACACATACATATAATACTCTCTCTCTCCCCTCTCTTCCCCCTTTCCCCCCCCCCCCCCACACACACTCACCCACCACAATGTGTGCAGGGCTCCCTAGACGATGACTGGCTGAAGAGGCTGCTGGGGCAGGAGGCGTCCACTCGGCTGGATCTGGTGGGGGGTGGTTTTAACGGGTTTTAGTGGGTTCCTGGCTTAGGGACTTGAAGTGTCTACGTTGTTGAATTTTTTTCTAACTTCTTTCCCCAAGGGGGTGTCGGGGCAGAGCTTGGGAGGAGGTTGAGCGAGAGGAGAGCTTTCATGGGGAGGAACTGTACGGGAATTGTGACGCCTTCCTCCGGTAGTTGTACAGCAATTTAATGATTCTTAAGGACGCTTTTTCTTACGACTCAACGAAGACTTGTCAACCGTAATTACCTACCTACCTCTCTCTTGGCTAGATAGATAGCTAGATAGATACATATATTCGTCTCTTTCATTTTATCGTTTTCATCTTTAATTGAGGTCTGTTTTTTTGTCGTGTTTATTATCATTTTGTTCCTCGCGTTCTCTCTCTGCAGATCACAGACCCGAAGTTGCGTCACCTGCTGACGCTGGCCGAGTCCGGAGACGCCGACATGAACCAGATGCCGCCCACCAGGCGCATCTTGCCGCCTCTGCAGGTAGGGAGGAGAGGTGAAAGAGGATGCTGACGTCATGCAAATGATTGTCGTACAGATGATGAGTCGCAGCTGTTCGCAGATATTCGCATAGAAGAACAACAACACAGTGCAATGCGTTGTCGAATGTCCCGATCGCGATAGGATATGTAATGCTACAGATAATGCTATATTTACAGCTCTGTACGGTATTGTACGGCGTTGCAATGCAGCACAGCTTGAATTTTTCCTTGACTCTTTTCCTTCACAGCCGTGAATTTTTGACAATTTGAGGAAATCTCCCTGTTCGTTTTGTTGTAAAAAAATTTTGTTTTTCAGCTGCCAAAGCTATGGGGCCCGGGGCTTGTGGCTGGCGTCAAGCGGTTACGGTTAGACGAGCGTTACATCGAGCCAACCGACTGGGAACGCGAGGCCATTGAACAGTCCTTGGCGGAGGAGGAGCGTACGGCAGAGGCGATGGCGGCGGAGAGGCAGGCGGCTGGTTTCGCAACCGGCGGCACGGAGGGTGTGTCGTACAAGGAGTACGACGAGTGGAAGGAGGACATGCGGAGTCGTGAGATTGTGGAGGTTCCGGGGGACATCACGATTCTTGAAACGGACGAGGTACGCGTCCGCGTGTGTGTGTGTGTGTTTGTATTCCCCCTCCAAACCCCTCTTCCCCCGCCCTTCCCCAACTTTTTCCCTCTCGCTTGAACTCGCTTTTGAATAGTTTCGAGCCCATTAACTTTTTTTAAATTTTCCAGTTCTCACTTTGCGCCCTTTCCCTCTCCCGCCACCCCCGTGTCCCTTGAAAACGTTTACCCAATTACGCGGCTGCTGCTGGTGATGATGACGATGATGATGATGATGTCGGCGCATCCTCAGGGCCGGGCCGAGTGGAGGCGGTTGAAGGCCGCCTGGCACTCCCTACCCCGGGTCGCACCCGACAACAAAGAACACGGGAACAGAATGGAGCTTGCGCTACAGGGGGCTCCCCTTGCACAGGTGTGCCGTACAAGTATCGTATATATAACGTGTGCATCCCGTGCGTGTACATACAATCACCCGTTTGTTGTAGCATTGAACCACCTTTTCTATGTATGTATGTATGTATGTATGTATGTATGTACTATATACGTGTTTTTAGATGGTTAGTATTAAACAGCTGAGAGAAAGCGCAGTGACACAGGTCTGTCAGCATGTCTGTTACGTGACACGTGTGTGTGTTTTGCATTGTCGGTCTTGCACAGGTGTTCAGCACCCCCCGGGACATCACGCGGGAGCTCGCCGCCGCGGAGGCCGTACTGTCCGCGCTTAACCGCGTACAGGCAGCCTTCCCCACAACCATCGAACAGGACGAGCAACTGATTGCCTCCGCCGCCGCGGCCGCCGCCGCAGGGCGCGCCAAGCGCGGTGCCAGCGGTGCCAGCGCCAAAGGTTCCGAGAACAGCGGCGAATCGCTGACGGCAGCGGCCTCGGCGGCGCTGGCGGAGGCTGAGGCGGCGGCGGCGGCGGAGCCGCCGCCGCCGCCACGGACCGCAATCACGACGGCGAGGATGTTGGGCGTCGTCGCCTGGCGTCTGGAGCTGAAACGGGTTTGGCGGCAAATGGCCGGTATGGTTCAGGAGTACCGGGATGCGTTGTTGGTGGCGGAGGCGACGGCGACCGCCGCCGCCACGGCGATGGGGACGGGGGAACCCGTGGCTGCGGCATAAAATCACACACAGCGGCACTGGGGGGGCACTGGAGGCGGGAGGAGGGCCAGGCCGCGGTGGAGGAGGGAGGAGCCCGTTGAGGAAAGCTCTTCTCCTACGCAGCGGGCCCCCGGCGACACCGTAACATGAACACACAGTCATGGGCAGTCCATTGGAGAACCCCGGCTTTGACAGAACCCCTTTCCCCCCGCGCCGCAGCAGCTTTTCACTCGTTCGTGGTTCGTCTTCCCCCCCCTCCTCCACGCACGTGTGTGCACACTGTGCAGCTGTGTAACACTGTCAAGGGAAAGCAGCGAGGGGAGGGGGTTCCGTTGGCGGCCTGCTAGTAGTTTGCTGCACGGGTCCGTGGGATAACACTTGTGTGGGTGGGTGGGTGTGAGTGGGAACTGCCGCCATCGGAGATGATTAGATGGCTGGCTGGCTGCCAATCCCAGCGAGTCTCTCGCCTGTAGTCAGCCAACTCAGACTGCCAGGTGGTGTCTGTTGTTATGTTACAGAGTGGGAGGCTTCTGGGCCACTTTATCACATTGTCAATTCCACGATTTATCACCAGGTCCTGTCTGTCTTATTAGGCGGGGCAGGCTGGCGCAAGGAAAGGCCCCCCCCGCCAGGAGACGCGGCAGGAAGAGTCTAATAGAGGGGTTGGGTTTTTCCCGGGGGTGATGGATGGTGGGGCCTAGGTGTACGAAAATTTCGCAAGTTTCAGCGAAGGGTGGTCAGAGGCTGCAGATGGTTGTGTCGTGTGTGGTTGGTTGACCCTAGCGTGTTTACTGAGGAGGGTTGTTGATAGTGAGGCAGGTTTTTGTTGGTTGTTCTCATGAGCCTGTCGTACACGTTTAATTTGACTGACTTACCCTATAGGTGTTCACTGTTACCTCCCTTCTACGCCCAAACATGAACACCATATGACGTCATGCACACCATCCTTAGACTGACACCTGGGATGGCACTCGATGGTGATGGTGGTGGTGATGACCTACTACGCGAGCAAGAGATGAAAAAGAAGCACCGCAGCGTTCGGAGGCAAAGAACTGAAACTGAACACCTGGATGGGTGAAGAAGTCGTTAAAAAGGACCCGATAACCTTAACCGACACTACCCTACCTACCTAGGGGCGCGGGAATGTGATGGCGTTTTGGCAATCAATCGCTCCGAAACCTCCGTAACCAGCCGCCCCGTCCCATTCACCGTATCCAGCCCCGCATAGCCCCCACCACCTCATGGTTCTTGCCAAACTTCGTCAGCCGCCGTACCCCACACCCATCTCCCCCAAACCTAAATTAAATTAGCACACCACCATCGCCTCTCTCCCTTCATCCTCACATACATACATACATACATGCGGTCGATCACGCGCTAGCTACGTGGTTATCAAGGCCCACCACTTCCCGTGGTGCCACCAAGCACCTAAATAGGCAACGAAGCTCCACCCGTCGGTCGCTTTCACGGACATAACCCTTCCCCTCTACAACCCTAAGAACCGGCCTCTCCGCCTCTTCCTCTTCCCCCCTCCCTGCCCCACCGGCTTCCCCTCAGTAAAACCAGCAAGCAGCCCCGGTTTCCGTACCTCCCCACTACCACCACTACCATCACCATCCCTCTGCACCTCCTCCTCTGCCCGTCTTAACATAAGATTTGCCCCCCTCCCGCGAACAGCACTCAGGCCCCAGCGCCGGGACTCACATCCACATCCACACGTTTTCATCCATCTGCAGCTCTATACTCTCTCACCCCCCTCTTTCTCTTCCCCTCAGCCGCCAGCGCCCATTTGCACGAAGCGAGATATTGTGAAGGCGATGGCGGAGAAGGTACCTAGGATGGTGATGACCGACTTGATCTATCGAGGGGAGGTTTGAGACGGGGGAGGTTTGGAAAAGGAAAAGGTTGGATTGAGGAATTTGAAGGAAAAGGGTTTTTTAAAGACCAGCGGGAGGAGAATGAACAGGTTTTTAAGGGTTTCGGAGCAGGGAAGTCATGTGGGGAATGAAAAGCAGCAACGAGTAGCAGCAGTAACAGCAACAATGATCGGCAACACTATACAAATAGGTCGCAGGTGTAGGTCGTACATGTCGGAGGGTTGGCCTGTGCCTCCCTTCCCCCGTCGCTGATAACCCCTACAAAAACACACACTGACACACAGACATACACACACGTACTTCGGCGGTCGTTCCCGTTGGGGCACGGTCAGGTGCCCCTGGGCAGTGTCAGGCCCGGATCGATATGTAGCAAATACACACACAGACACACTCACATACCTACCTACCTACATACGCACATACACGGGATGCACGTCTTCCTTCGTGGCTGCAGCTTCACTCACTCACCCATCCACCCACCCAAGCTCACCAATAACACCCCGGCCCCCCGGGCCCGCGCCGTCCCCCCCCTTGTAAACCGCTGCCTCTTGCGATCACCCTCAACCGGGCCCTACCTACCGTGTCATTCTTGGCCTTCTCAACACTGGACTTGAGCTCGTTGATGTCCTGGATGTACAACAACAACAACAACGACAGCATTAACGACAGCAACAACCATTAGGGATAGCAGCGGCGGTGGCCAGCAAGACACCCATCACCGGGAGCTGAGACAAGTTGGGAAGTGGGGAGGAAGCGTCGCATAAAATATGCCGTGTGCCACCCCGCACATGAAAACCCAGTCAGCAGCGCCACACACACACACACACACACACACCAACATTCCCCCCCCCAAACTTAACCCCCATCCTATCCCACCTACCCCATGCCCTGTGGCCCTAACGGGACTCTCACCCGATCCACTTTGATTTGCAGCTCCGTGGTCTTGTCCCGGATGCCTTGCAAGTCGTCTCGCATCCGCCTGGTGGTGAGAGGAAGGAGGGAGGGAGGGGAGGGAGGAGGGAGGGAAGGGAGGAGGGAGGGAAGGGAGGGAAGGAGGGAGGGAAGGGAGGGAGGGAAAGACGAACCACACACGATTGAAGGGAGGGAGGGAGGGAGGGGAGGAGGGAAGGGGGGAGGGAGGGGAGGAGGGAAGGGGGGAGGGAGGGAGGGAGGGGAGGAGGGAAGGGAGGGAAGGGGGGAGGGAGGGAGGGGAGGAGGGGAGGAGGGAAGGGAAGGAAGGGGGGAGGGAGGGAAGGGGGGAGGGAGGGAAGGGGGGAGGGAGGGAGGGGAGGGAAGGGGCGCGGACAGTAATAAATGAATGGGCTCATGACACCTCTGGAGGGTATAACACAGCTCCAGGAGGTGTTAAGCAAAACACACCACATACACGCACACACACTCTCCACACACACACACACACACGTGAAATGGGAGAGGGTCCTCGGGTAACATATCATAGGTTGCGAAAGAAGCTGCTGGTCAACATTTCTTCCTCCTCCTCCCCCCTATCCTCCTCCTCCTCCTCCTCCTCCCCTTCCTCCTCCTCCCCCTCCTCCTCCCCCTCCTCCTCCAGCGAGAGAGGGGATCACGAAATCGTTACCCAAGGGCCCAAGGGCCCCACGGGGGTCGGGCTTTCCTTTCTCCTCCTCCTCCTTCCCTCCCCTCGACAGCTCAGCTCAGCTCAGGCCGCCCCATTCCTCCCCCCAACATCGCCCCCCTCCCTCACCCCTTTTCCAAGTTCATGTCCAATCGCTGGCTAGCACTCAGTTTGTCGATCTCGTGCCTGCGAGGGGGGAGGGGGGGGGAAGCCAACCAAATGGAATCCGGGAAGGTGACGACGAAGTGAGAACGAAGTGAGAACAAATCCAAGCCAGGATAACAATCCCAGCTGCGGGATAAAACGGGATACAATCACCACCTAGTTGACCACCCTCTTACGAGCCCTAATGTTCACGCAACCCCCCCCCCACCCACCCACCCACCCATGCACGCACGCACCTGACTTCCGCCTTCATCTTATCCAGGTAGCCCTGTTGCCGCTCCATATCCTTGTTGACGTTGGCTTGGTGCATGTCCTGTGAGTGTGTGTGTGTGTGTGTGAGAGAGAGAGCGAGAGCGAGAAAGGGGGGAGTAGATGAGATGACGGAGGGGGCCCTCAATAGCGTGTGGATGTGTAAGTGTAAATACGTATGTATGTATGTATGTATGTATGTATGTATGTATGTATGTATGTATGTATGTATGTATGTATGTATGTATGTATGTATGTATCAGGGGCTTAGGGCCCGCTGAAAAGGGGCGGCAAGGGAAGGCGGCTGCCCAAAGGCGAGATCGACGACTTCAAGGGGCCGCCCCCCCACAAACACACCGGCTGGGCAGTACGACACCAACCCATTCATCCTTCAACTTCTACTCAGTCCCCCCTCCCTGGTTGTAGACACGAACCCGAACCCGAGCACACACACACCTACGCACGCACGCCAGCGCACCCAACCCATTGTAAACGCAGTGCCACGCACTGCCACCGCCCACTCATCACTCATCAGCCACCGCCCCACGCACCTGCGCCTTCTGCATTTCGGTTTTGAACCCCTGGATGGTTGAAGCCTGCTCCAAAATGGTCTGTGGTGTGCATCACAGAAAAGAGATAATCATCGTGTGGGCACATATGTCTGTCTGTATGTATGTCTGTAAATGTGTGTACATCACCGCTGCGTACATGATCCCCAGAGGAGAGGATGAAGGGGGGTATGGGGCCTGACGGGTGCCACATCCGGGGCTCAAGGCTGGTGAACAGTTCCCGAGGGGGCAGGAGAGGGAGGCAGAGGCTCACAGCGCGAGGATGGGGGTGGGCAAGAGAGATTGTGTGTGTTTCTGTGTGTGTTTCTGTGCGTGTTTCTGTGTGTGCGATGGGTGGGTGGGTGGATGGGTAAGAAGAGCTGTGCCAAGAGCGTGCGCCTGGGTGTGTCCGTGGTGATCCCGTTGACCCGTTCCCCAGCAAGGTTGGGTGTGTGTGTGGGGGGGGGAGGCTGTTGTGGAGGTGTGGAGGTGTGGAGGGCTGTTGTAGAGGCGAAAGGCAAGTCACGAAGCCTGAGAAAAGCCTTCTCTCCTTCCTTCCTCCTTCCTTGTAGTCAGCCTGAAAGTAAAAACCGATGCCTCGATCTCCTCTCTATCCCTATCTGCTTGTCTCATCGCACGCAGCCCCATCACCCCACAAGCCACCTCAACTCGCACCCAGGCATAGGGCCCTATGGCACGTGTGCGCGTGGAACACAGAGGCAGGATAGACCCCGTCACAGAGGACCAGGTCAAGGCCCCCGGTTTGTAGTTACCGTTAAGAAACGGTTATGCTTATCAACGACTTAGGGTCACGAGCCCGGTCAGCGGATAAAAGGATCAAGTATTTGCGTGTGATTGGGTCTTCAGTGGGAGGATGATGAGTCACAGTAGCCATGTGCGGGCGGACGGCTGGTGGTGTCTCCAGAGGAAGCAGGCGAGTACAGTTGCGTGATTGTCGGGGTTGGGGGGGGGTTTGGGGGGTAGTATGTGTGTCTTCCGGAGGGCGGTCCCCGACCAGCTTTCCTTTCTTGTGAGAGCTCCGGTGCCCGAGATCACCTCACCTTCTCCAGCACCACCTGCTTCACGAACGCCTCTTCCATTTTAAGCTTGTTTTGGATGATCAGGGCAGTTATTTTCTGGGCCAGGTGCTCCGCGGCGTCACGCGGCAGGCCAGAACGCTCAAATGATTTGGTCTACGAGGGCAGGAAGCCCACGGAATCGCAAATTGAATTATGGCGCATCATAGTTTGCCTGGTGGCGTAGGCTGTGAAAATGGAACGACTTGCGTCAGACCTTACCAGCTCCAACGTATCCACAAGCAGGTTATTGCTGACCATCTGTTTATGCGCTTCCTCCATCGTTGATCCATATCTCCGGCGGATTTGCAGACAGTCGTATGTGCTGTGAAAGTGGCACGAAGCTAATCGCGCAGGAGTCAGCGATAGCTGCTCGAGGTGTCCAGCTTGTCGAGCGAAATGTCCTGCTAATTTCATGAGACCTTTGATCCTAGGCATACTTCACAGCTTTCTTCCTTACAAGTCTCACGTTTTTTCAAAGTAGAGCCTGACGTGACATCAACAGACTTTCCCCAAATAAGACAGGGATCGCGTGTATGCAATGCAACAAGTAATGGAAAACATCATTTACGTCTTGGATTTAGGGTCAACCGAATTCTTACGAAGCCTTTGTTTGTCAGATGTACGGTAACAGGTAACCCTAGCTCTGACTGTGCTCGAACACTCCAGTTACCAAGGTAAAACGCGAGGTTGAACACCGTTTACCCTTTATCCTTCTCAAAGTATACAGCAAGGCCTATTCCCAAAGCTACTTCACCCTACATAGCGAAGGTACTCCTTACATACCTACCTACTCTGCACAGCAAAGCGCTAGGCTAGACCTACTGGATTTGCGGTGGCGCTACTGCACAAGTCACATGGGCTGAACAGCGCAACTCTTGCCTTGCCAAGGCATCCAATGTTCCAGCCATCGTCCCTCTCGAATCCCCTAAGGTTCGTGTACCCGAGGATCAAGCACCGCTTCTTAAGAGCAAGCCTTCTGCTTTATAACTGCAACACTGTGTTAACTCAGGTCAACAGCTAGACGTCAGGTGCGCTTTCTTTTATATAACTCAGCCTGATTTGCTTTGGTTTGCGGCTTGCAAACCCGCGGCAACCGCCAGAATGGCCCCACGCACCGGCTTGTTTTTTTCATCAAAGCTTTGCCCCCACGTTCATCCCCCTTATTACAAGACATAGGAATCTTACAAAACAAAGGCGCCCATCCTCGCTGAACTCGGTGTGTCGCGCCACCCTGTGTGTCGTGGAAGCGACTTGAGGATAACGGCCATCACATGGAAATGTCAACATGGATAAGTGAATTTCTTCGGCCTACATAAGCATTCTGCATATGCAATACCGTTCAGGACTCCGTGGAGGGACATCCGAACTAAGAATGCTGCAGTTCGCACTCGCAAACAGCATATCCTAAGCCTTGGCGAGTTGCGTACGCAATCTTCAAGGCGTTATATTTTGGAATGTTCGTCCTTGGATCCAATGGATAGTCCTGCCATATGTTAGATACTTCAACTCGCCTGCTAGCTTGAATTCAATCAGCATGTCAGGGTAGTTAGCGAGTGTGTGCGTCCTCTCTGAAAGCATTGTAGCAAATACATAATGCAAAAGTTGGGCCAAAGCTAACGGCTCACCAGTCACCACTTGTACGGCAATGCAGAGCGAGGATGAGGAACGAAATCGCATCAGCACAACATCATGAAAAATGTTTTACCAGGATGCGCACTGAACAAGATTTTTTATGAATCGCTCTCATAGACTTGACTCGCGTCGAAACCTCCAGTCAGCTCTTTTGCCCCTTTAAGTTTGCAGATGATTCGGCTATTTAAGAAGTTTACGTATCCTTCAAGCACAATCTTTCAAAATACTGCACAGCACAGGCGGCTGTAGCCTTCCATTGGGCCCTCATCCCTCTCCCTGCCGAATTGCATCCTGCCGGAGCGGCCTTTCAGCCAGCTCCATGAAAACCATGCTTGCGACCAGCGGGACTTTGCACTAAGTGGAATTTACGCGGCTATCAGAAAATGACCCAGATCGCTGCTGCACGGGATCCATACCGTACTTTTCGATCCATCCCGTCCAGAACTTGCGGAGAAAGGGCCATATCACATGCCAAATCCTTCGTACAATCGCAGCTACAAAGATGGCGGTGGCCCCCCTTCCAACCGCTATTTCCACCGCCAGCGGCCTTGCCGTACAACGTGGTGATGACGGTTCCGGAGCCCATTCCAGAGGCGTCGACCCTTCCGGAGGAGCCGCCTCTCCGCAGCGAACAGATCGATCTGACATTGGCTATCAAACGCTGCCGTACTTGGCAAGAACTCAGGTACGACACGTCGTGGAAGCAACAGTTTTGTCCTGGTATGGAATGGAGCAGTGTCCTCCCCTGTCAGGATAAGGAGAGGCAAAAGCATGCTTAGGGTTTGGCGAGAGGGGTGAGCACATATCCCCGGCAAACAGGCGAATGGCAAAGAGGGGAGGTAGTGACGATATCCGGACATTTGGAGAGAAGCCTATCATGTATATCCCTCCGTCGTACATCCTTCCGCCGTACATACGTTCAGGCGGCTCTACTGGGCGAACCGCACTCGACATGGCGTCATCAATATGGTGTCGTACTTCACTCGTCTGGCGGCATTAGCGCCTAGCTTGCCGGAGCTGCTACTGCCATACAAAACGGACGATACCGACGAAGCAGCGGTGGAGGAGGCGGAGGCCGCCGCTGCTGCCGGCGGTGCCGACGGGCAGGTTGTGGCGGCACTCGCCGGTGCAACCCCCGTCAGCTGGTCTGGGAAGGGCTACGATGCACCGAGGCGCCGCAGCCAGCAACAACAACAACAGCCGCAGCAGCAGCAGCAGCAGCAGCAACGACAGCAACAGGCGGGATTAAAAAGCGGCCGCGGCAAAGGGCCGGCAGCGACGACACCGCCGGCCCGATGTTGCAGCATCGCGGAGCGTACGGCGCTACGACAGCTGGTTGTACGGATGGTGTACGATGCATGCTGGTAAGGAAATCGCCACGGCCAGCCTACGACGAACTGCCTTGCCTGTTAGTCCTAACTGTCTTCGTTAGTCCTAACTGAAATCTGGACCTCCAGAACGGCTTTCCTTCTTTTCATTATCGGTGCCTAAAACTACAAGCGCTAACACTACTTCAATAAAATGTTCATAACTTCCAAATGAATATTCTCGTTAGCATGCAAGAAACTGCATTACAGAGGACTATTCAACATGCGGTAGCTTTGCCGTACTCCGGACATCCCGAGCAGCGGCGACCCATGGGTCGCTAAAGATATCCAAATAGGGGGGTCCTTGTGAAGCAGCTGCCCGCGTTTCCAAAGCACGTATGGTGTTGGATTGTAAGGTGCCCAAGTACGTTTGCGAGGAAGAGAATGTGGCCAGGCTGGAGAGGAAAGTGCAGTGGCATATTGGAATGTGAGATTAGTGTAAGCGAGTTACAGGGCGTTTGGCGCACGGGCGAATTTACGTAGCATCAGTCCTCAGTTCACTTCTTGGAACGAACATCAGCATAGGTCCAAGCCCTCTCGCTTGGAGGGATATGCAAACAAACATCCTGATAGGGGTAAACTCGCACGCTACCGAGCATTCAACCGAGCACATGCATGCTTAGTTGAATGGTGAGATGCGACCCCCCCTTCATTTCGTGCTCGGCAAGCCTGCCACCGCGTACCGGATATGTTGGCGATGTTACAGAGACGCTGCACCTTGGTTTCTGTGCGCAATGCGACCCCGCCGACCAAAACTACACGTGCCCAACTGAAGACATTCCCGGTGGTTGTGCAGCAGCTCTTGAGGCTGTTGCTGGCTGAAATCCATCCTGAGCTGTTGCAACACGGCTAACGCGGGCACGTCCCTATGCACAGCAAATAGCTGTTCCAAGCCAACAGCGGCGTCCATGTCACCGACAAGGCTCTAAACGTCTTATCTGTTCTTATGTTTAATTAAGTTTATGTATGTTATACTTTGCGCAACTTTGTAATTTGACTTTACTCT